TTTCTCAAAACAAGGCAGAAATTCATCTGGATGCAAGAGGAACATCAACTTATACTCTAACACACATAATTTTGAAGATTGGGGCAAAATTCGTCAATTTTTGAAGGAAAAAAATATTTTCTTTGGTGATTTAACTTTAATTTTTCGACAGAATTTCCCCTTTAATAGTGCAACTGTCCATATTTTTAGTCAAATCGGCCAAACATTTTCCCTTTAATAGCAGTACCTACCTCTAGAGGCGACTACTGATGGTCGCCTCTAGCGGTACCTACTTCTAGGGGCGACTATTGACGGTCGCCTCTAGCGGTACGTACCTCTAGGGGCGACCATTGATGGTCGCCTCTAGCGGTACGTACCTCTAGGGGCGACTATTGATGGTCGCCTCTAGCGGTAGCTACTTCTAGGGGCGACTTTTGACGGTCGCCTCTAGCGGTACCTACTTCTAGGGGCGACTATTGACGGTCGCCTCTAGCGGTACGTACCTCTAGGGGCGACCATGACGGTCGCCTCTAGCGGTACGTACCTCTAGGGGCGACTATTGATGGTCGCCTCTAGCGGTACCTACTTCTAGGGGCGACTATTGACTGTCGCCTCTAGCGGTACGTACCTCTGGGGGCGACTATTAATGGTCGCCTCTAGCGGTACCTACTTCTAGGGGCGACTATTGACGGTCGCCTCTAGCGGTACGTACCTCTGGGGGCGACTATTAATGGTCGCCTCTAGCGGTACCTACTTCTAGAGGCGAATATTTACGGTCGCCTCTAGCGGTATGTACCTCTAGGGGCGACCATTGATGGTCGCCTCTAGCGGTACCTACTTCTAGGGGCGACTATTCAAGGGCGGATCCAGAGCACAATTTTTTGGGGGGGCCAAAAAATTTTTTGGTCCCCCCAAAAAGTGGGCCTAAAAAATTACGGCGTGGGGTTCGGGGCCCGTGAAATTTTTTGGATTCTAGATGCTCTGTGGTGCGATCTGAGGCAATTTCTGACCACTTTAACCAATTTTTTTTTGAGGAAAAGATGGTGGTGTACTCATTGCCTGCCTTTATTGCGATGTCACATTAAAAAAAAAAAATAATTGGTTTCGTTTTGGGGGGGGGCCATGGCCCCCTTTGGCCCCCCCCCCCTGGATCCGCCCTTGGACTATTGACGGTCGCCTCTAGCGGTACGTACCTCTAGGGGCGACTATTGATGGTCGCCTCTAGCGGTACCTACTTTTTTATCTTAATTTTTCGACAGAATTTCCCCCTTTAATAGCACAACTGTCCAGCAATCGATTTGGAATGCGTTCTAGGACCCTTAAGGCATCTTTCTAGCAACTTTCAGGAAATTTCAGTTTTTGGCATAATTGAAAAAAATGCAAGGGGTTAGCCTTACATTTTTAGTCAAAATCGGCCAAAAATGGACTTTTCTCAAAACTAGGCAGAAATTCATCTGGATGCAAGAGGAACATCAATAAATACTGTAACACACATAATTTTTAAGATTTGGGAAAAAATCGTCAATTTTTGGAGGAAAAAAGATATTTTTTGGGTGATTTAACCTTATTTTTTTGACAGAATTTCCCCTTTAATAGCACAACTGTCCAGCAATCGATTTGGAATGCGTTCTATGACCCTTGAGGCATCTTTCTAGCAACTTGCAGGAAATTTCATTTTTTGGCCAAAATTGAAAAAATGCAAGGGGTTAGCCTTATATTTTTAGTCAAAATCGGCCAAAAATTGACTTTTCTCAAACTAGGCAGAAATTCATCCGGATGCAGGAGGAACATAAATCAACACTCTAACACACATAATTTTGAAGATTTGGGCAAAAATCGTCAATTTTTGGAGAAAAAAAATTATTTTTTTTTGGCGATTTAACCTTAATTTTTCGACAGAATTTCCCCTTTAATAGCACATCTGTCCAGCAATCGATTTGGAATGCATTCTAGGGCCCTTAAGGTATCTCTCATTTTTTGACCAGAATTGAAAAAAATGCAAGGGGTTAACCTTACCTTTTAGTCAAAATTGGCAAAAAATTGACTTTTTCTCAAAACAAGGCAGATATTTATCTTGATGAAAGAAGAACATCAATCAATACTCTAAAACGCAGAATTGTGAAGATTTGGTCAAAAATCATTCATTTTTGGATAAAAAAAATTCAATTTCTCAGCGATTTTATCTTAAATTTTTCGACCGAATTTCCCCTTTAATAGCACATCTGTCCAGCAATCGATTTGGAATGCGTTCTGAGGCCCATAAGGCATCTTTCTAGCAACTTTCAAGCAATTTCATTTTTTGGCCAAAATTGAAAAAAATGCAAGGGGTTAGCCTTACATTTTTAGTCAAAATCGCCCAAAAATTGACTTTTCTCAAAACAAGACAGAAATTCATCTGGATGAAAGAAGAACATCAATCAATACTCTTAACACGCAGAATTTTGAAGGTTTGGAACAAAATCATCTATTCTAGGGCCCTTAAGAGGCTTCTTTCTAGCAACTTTAAGCGTCTCATTACTTGATGGGTTTGTCCTACTCGTCCTAACCAATCACATGATAAAAATTCAATTCAATTCATCTTTTATTTCATGAGTTATGGTGTCCACAAGGATGCCAGAATTTGTAATTATTACCACTTGTCGGAGGTATGTTTTCTTATTTACGTCCCCTTTTGGAGTTTCGTCTGACCGTCGGCCCTGGGTGGCCTTGTTCACATTGTTCATGAAGATCCAAGTACTTGGACTCGGATATATCGTTCCCAAAGATCAAAGTACTCGGATCTGAGTGGAACTCGATTACTGATTGGTACTCGGCAGTGCTTGATACTTGGATAAAAGTACATGTACTCGACTACCACAGTGGAGAATACATGCATATATCAAATATGCTTTTTTATTTGATTTTCTTTTTTTTTTTACAAAACTACCAAATCTGGGGTAAATATTTTAAAATTTGCGAGAGTTACAAAAACACATTGTCATTACACAAATTTACATATTCAATTCGCATCTGATTTACATAATTACAATTTTGAAAACAAAAACAATTACAACACAAAGTATTATGACAAATTTCAGTGTGCACCAACAATTTGGACGGATTATGCATCGACTATTTTTCTGCATACAAATCATTCATTTCTTCAAAGTAGGATCTAAAAATCTGTGATTTACACCTCAATACAAAAACATGAAAGTTGAGCTATTCAGTGGGATAATTATGTTAAATCCAGATTTTATTAAAAATTGGTTTGAATTCCATAGTCAGTTTAAATTTTGGAAACCGACTATTTGAAATCAACCTTAAACAAAAAAATAAGCCTTCCACTTTTTGTGACACAGGCTATTAAGAAAACAACTGGAACATTCCCCAATTTGCTCCATGGTCTCTGATTGTAATTGCATTCACTTGCTAGTGGTCTTCTTGGTATATGAATTGCCTGCCCATTCGACTTATCAGAGAGTTCCCATCCATTTTTTTCAACATTACAGCTCTGGAGTGCTTTTGTAAAGGCCCAGTGGGCATTGAATCCTGCAAACTATACCCAGTCATTGGTAAGGCATTTCATGTGGCACCTCACTCGTCACTTTTTGTTGGCAAGATTGTGAGCTGGATGGGAACTTCCAGTCAAATCAGATTACCATTATTCGGTTTGAGAAAAATAGGACAACCATATTTTGAAATCTCTCATTATTTTCCACCACTATTACGTAATTTTTGTTTTAATTGGTAAAAAAAGATTTGTTTGCAAGGGTTAAATTTGCCCAAGATTCTCATGGACTAACCTTAATTGGTTCAAATCATACCGTTTGTTCACTTCTGCCTTTGTATTACTTTCAAGCATCTCCATACTAAAGACATACATTTGTGAAGAATTTAAAGTAATACTCTCATAAAAAAACATCTAAGAGTTGTTCATGGTATGTTTTTGTTCAATTCTCCACACTCTCAACTCGCTGCAAAAACAAACAAAAAGGATGAAAAGCTATTAAACAATTCTGAGAAATCTTAATTCAAGATTCCAGCTTCAAATCTATTTTAATTTTGGCAGTTTTTCATTGGTCATATTTACCATTTTTCTATTTATTATTTTGTTATTGTTGGTTTTCTCAATAGAATAACCATTTGCCAAAACTCAGTAGGAATCCAATCAGACCAAGCTGACATCTTGGCAAATTCTTCACAAAATTGAGAGATCGGAGGCCACATAATATTAATTCCACAAAAAAGGGGAAAAAAGCACTGTTACCCCTGCACTGAATGACAATGCATATACCTAGTACATAATAAAAAAAAATATGAACTGTACATGGCACTGGACGTCCTACTTGCACCGTCTGGGATGCAGTGTTTGTGTTCAAAAACCTATTCTCCGCATGAAAAACATATTTTGATCCCTAAGTATGAATTGCATTTTATTATAATGCCTCTACCTTTTGAAATAAAAATAAATTTTGTAGACACACGTACAATGAGTAAGGAACTATTAAGTACTGTTTTCAACAACAAAACGATATTATATGCAGCTGATATTGAAGTTATTTTGTACATATAAATGTTAATATATCTTGTAAAGGGCGAGTCAAAAACACAAAACCCAAATGTCGGGAGCATTGTTTTAGTGAAGTTCTGCATGTAGCACTTTTAAAATCTAGGATATCAAAGCCCAATTCATAAGCTTTCTTTTAGTACAAGAATTATTTGATTCACCTAAGCACTCTTCAAGTTACGGAGTTTTAACGCAACCACTGTTTTAAAGTTCTGTCCACGGATCAGAAAAAGGTAGGTGTTCTTTCAGCAAAACCCAAACAAATCACAAAGAGATGTGTGTGAATTGTTTTCGTTTTGCCGAAAGAACGCACACCTTTTTTGTGACTCGTGGACAGAACTTTAAAATGGTGGTTGTGTTTAAAAATCCGTAACTTGAAAAGTACATGAGTGATTTGAATGATTAAAAAGAAAGCTTATGAATTGGGCTTTCATATCCTAGATTTTGAAAGTGCTACATGCAGAACTTCACTAAAACAATAGTCCCAACATTTGGGTTTCGTTTTTTTTGTACTCACCCTGTATACAACTTTTTAGCAGAATTGTCTGGTCCTTTTTCAAGTCCCCAAATGTAAGTGACAGATAACGTTGAATGGCAGGAATCCAGCCACATCTGGGCCCAATTTCATGGCGCTGCTAACCACAGAATTCTGCGCTTACGATCACCATTTTGTGCTAACCGCGCCAGCAGAAAAATTCTGCATTAACCCTGTAAACACAGAATCCCTAGTTCCAACAGGAGTTGTTTAAGACTACTCATGAAATGGGCAAACCATAACATAGCTAGAGGGGTGTTCCAAAAAACATGAAGTAAATTTGTTGAACAGAATCGTTGAAAATTTACAATTTTTGGCTTGTTTTGACTCTATGACCGAACAGGTATTTATGAATTGGAATAAAATGTGCTTTGGCCGGTACTAAACAAGTCCGTTTATTAAACAAGCCGAAGGCAAAGCACACATTTATTCCCTTATTTAACACATTAATTCATTTACTAAATAAGAAAATAGAGTATTGCCCAACCACCTAATATTTACTTGTATTTGGAATGATATATTTATAAATGGTCGATGAAAGTATTTGTATGAACTTTTGTTCTCACTTGGCAGAATTTGTTGTAGAATACAGACGTCTCATTTGGGCATTGCACTGTGGCTGCGTACTAGCAGAACTCTTCATTGTCTGACAACTCACTGAAAAACAAAAACAGGAGGAAATCATTGAGAAAAAAATAAGTTTATTTGGCTCTGGGGAGGATTTGAAGTCAATGTTTGAGGAATGCGACAACTAAACCTCACGCTAGCAAAACATGCAAAAATTGGGATAAATTCTACAACAGGAAAAATCTGATAGTACTGCACTTGAGCTGTGATATATTATGAGGAAGGGAACAGAAGTAGTCTGGTCAAGAGTTGCAGTGAGGCAGTGCGAGGGAAGGAATTGGAGCTCCCCATACTTCTTGGTACCAGACCTTACAACACAAATGGTAAACAGATGAAAGGCAGAAACAGCAGAAATTCCCCATTACTCAGTCCTAATTTTCCTAACAGAAAACTTAAAGCGGTGTCGGCTAGGGTATGCATTGTTGCCATACACAATTTGTTGCCATACACACTGCGCCATACGCAACATATGCACACATGTGCGAGTTTATGGTGTAAATCGAGGTCACACACATGCAACGTCATCGATGAATCGAGGACAGAAACCGAATCGAGGACGACCTTGATTAGAAAACATGTACAAAACCAATGAGAGCTGTTGCAAAAAGTTTGAGTATAAACAAAGGAAAAGGGAAGAGTAGGAAATCCACGATTTACACCATAAACAAACGTGCTAGTCTGGGTGTTTGTGAATTACATACACCCTGAGGACAGTCAGACAAAGGGAGAAAAACAGATTCTTTGTTGTGCTCGAGAGTTCATCTTTTGTTTGAAAACGGTCCTCGATCGTGAGTTTGTGTGCTTAGTCTATGGGAGAGAGTAATATATTACAGGGACAAAGGGAAATACAATGCATTGTCCTAGAGAGTTATGTAAAACATGACATCTCATAGGTGGTCATGAAGCACCATCTGTCATTCATGTCCAGAGTCCATACTAACCTTGCATCAAAGTTCTCTTCAAGGTCTGCTAGTAAGCTAGGAGCTCTCTCCAGCATCAGGGTGTACAGCTGGTCTAGGTACTCCTTCTGACGACCGGCTTCCTCTAACTCATCACGGAGGACCTCCAGTATCTCTGACTGTACTCCACAAAGAGAGAGAAAATTATTCGCTACTAGTCTCATGGGCTCTTGGGCTGAAACTGTTTAAATGCAAATTTGTTTGGGTGTTGACAAACGTCATGATGAAACTTCAATTGTTGACGACATGAAAGTCACTTTGCTTTTGCTTACACATGAAGTATGCAACGGTCTTAATGAAATTTTCACCTCTTGAGGTTCTTTTTTGTATTTTTATTTTATTGCATGGAATAAACACTTAGGTGATTGACTTGTGATTGACTTGTGATTGACTCGGACTGACTTTGCGACTGATTTGCAATTGACTTGCGACTGAGTTGTGACCAACTCGTAATTAACTTGCGCATAACTTTGTGAATATAATAATAATAATAATAATTTGGGAGGCAAGTCATCCTTACTCGCAGCTGGTATGCTGAATTGAAAAGGACGCGGCTACAACGTGGTCGGGCCGCTGGCACGTAAAGGCGCCTATGGCTGCCGGCCACATCGACCATATATGACCACGGAGCACAGCCTGAGATCGAAAGTGTTTGATTTTTCCGGAGGGAGGAAAACCAGAGGGCCCGGAGAAAAACCCTCGTGGCACAGGAGAGAACCAACGCACAACTCTACTCACATGCGATCCGCGGCCAGGATTCGAACCGTGGTCATTTTGGTGAGAGGCGAGGGCTTTACGCACAAGCCACCCATGCCACCCAATTGCCTTGCAATTGAGTTGTGATCGGTATGCGATTGACTTTGTGAGTGACTTGCGATTGACTTTGCGACTGACTTGTGATTCACTTGTGATTGACTCGTGATTGACATTGAGATTAACTTGCAATTGACTTGTGATTGACTTGTGACTTACTTTTGATTGACTTGTGACTTACTTTTGCTATTTGTGATTTGACTAGACCACAACTCCGTAAACTCCACAGTGTTTGATATTTGAAATCACAGATGCCTACCTTGGAGGCAGACTTGAGTGCCTCCCAGAGCGGCAAGCCTTCCTCTAGAGCCTCGCTGATGAGATGATGAGACGAAGACGTCTGGTTCTCATCTGTCTTGTTCATCAGCTCCTCGATGACACCGTCCCTCTCCTGGCAGACCTGTGACAACTCGTTCGTCTGGAGTATTTCAAAATAAACAAATAATTTGTGAATGGATTTTGAGCAAAATACGATTTGGTCTGATCTGGAGAAATGGGGAAGATGTTGCAAATTATAAATATCATTTTGGGGGGTATTTACTTCTTAGAATAAGCTCAAAGAGCTTCAATTTCTGAGATGTGGTCAAAAAAAACCTCCAAACGGTATACATATTTGGCAATGCAAAATCTCATCTTTAACACTGCATAAACTTTGATTTTAGGGTTGATAAAGAAAAGTCAATACAGTCCTGACCAAGCTCAAGTTTTTATGGCACATCACATTTCGCAATTGTGGGGCCCTCTAGGAATTCTGTTTCTTGATATCGGAATTCTTTTCAGAAAGATCTGCTTCTTGAAAATTTGAAGTCTTACTGCAGAAATCAAACAACCAAGTATATGGTAACGTGAACTGGAGTACACAACTTCAAGCTTTACTGGCTGAGTGCTTCTTGACTATTGCTAACATGAAAGATTTTTGTAAAAACCTGCAGTGCAGCTAAAAATCATCAAAAAAGGCAATATGAATACAACAGTTTGATTTCAAATAGTCTTCCTCACCTTTTCATCCAGTGTGTCCTCCAGTTTGCAAATGTTTTCCTGCAATCTGATCACCTCCATCTGCAACAAAAACAGGCAAAACCCTTTCACCTTATCATATGGACAATTGCGATGTAAACTTTGGTCTAATGATGGGGGGATTTGCACTCGCACTCTTGTGTCTTCAGTATGGATTCATGCTCAAATCCCACCATAAAAACCACGATCCTTGTATCCTTGAGCAGGGTAGTTTACCGTAACGCCTACCCAACCCGCAGGATTATGGATACATTTGGTGACAGGCTTTGTTACTACATAACGTTTAAACACTTTGAAAAGACTCAGGGCTGCATGATGAACAAAGTGTTAAGCAGGGCCAAGAAATGACTATAAGCCAGTCAACCAGGGGCGGCATCATGTAAAAGATTTTTACAATTTGCTACACTCAATGCCAAAATGAAACAAAATTATTTTTTTGACACTGTGACTGAATTCTTTTAATTAGTCCAGTTGAATGACACTTTATTTTTTCAAGAAATATTTTTTTATATAAAAGGGTCATTTGTGTATTGGACCATTATTAGAGTTCAAATGACTTTAAAGCATGTGCTGCCTCACCTGTAGTTTGTGTTTATCGTCCTGTATCTGTCTCAAGAGCTGCTCGTTGTCCTTGTCGACAAGTTGCTGTTCCAACTTCTCAGCCCGTAGTTCTGAATTGGAGAGCTGAATAACAAAAATTCCACATGAAGAATTTTGGATAATGGGTGCCAATGCAACCCCCAAAAACCATTCAAGCTGTTCAATTTAAATCAGCCATATTTGAGAGAGCACCATGTGAACAATACATTAGAATGAGAGGTAAACAAGTAAATCTTAATGAAAAAAAAGAGGTTTTTTTTCAAGTAAGAATGGTGGTTTTCTCTTCAATCTGTTTTGTGCTATGTGAAGGTTCGAATCCCAACCATTTCTCCAAATGGGTATTGTCAGTCGCTTTTTGATAAGAATGTAACCTTTTATTTTAAACACGTGTGCCATACCAGCTCTCCAAGTAACAGATAAGGTTTTTATGTAATAAGTGACCTTTTAACCAGTTCGCGCCAGGATTATTTTGACATTGACTGGACCCAGGTGCAGAATTGTTTTCACAAACCTCGGGTTCAGGCCGTCATCTGCATGTAGCACACCCTGATATTTCCGGCCTCGCTCACTGCGAGCGGGTCTTAAACTGACATTTCCGACCTCGCTTGTTGCGTATTTATCTGTCATCCGTTCCGAATGCTGCAAAACCGTTCCTTGCATACACATCATCTGACGTGAACTGGTTAAAACTCCAAACCAGCTTTCAATAAAAAAAGCCTATATGGGATCACTTTTCAAAATAAAAATGGGTCTGTCATCGTTGGCTGTAGACCATACCTGTGCCTGAAGTTGCTGCACCATGATTTGTAATTGAGTTGCTTGCCTTGCCTGAGATTCAAACCCTTTTGCCCTGAAACACACAAAAGTAAAATCTTTCAATGAGTGGAATGTAGAAAGAAATGTCCTCCTTTGAGATGTGGCCTAATTTATGGAGCTTCTCAACAGACAATTTTGATTGATAATTTAAGGTTAACATTCAGCTGAAAACCTGCCATAAGAAACATAAATCGTTGAAAAAAAACTTCAGTAATTAAACTTGTTTTCAAGAAGGCATTGACAATCCACATAGTGCCTCAATTGGGATTTGAACCCTGACACCAAAGACAGAAGTTAGTTATGGTAACTGTGCTTTCTAGATGGCTGTAAAAAAAAAGAAATCACTAGAAAACTTGTTCTATGGTTTAAATAAGCATGTAGGCTATGTAATTATAAAAATGAATTTTCATTTTCAGCCAAAATTACATGGAACTTATGATCCATCCATTTACCGCAAACAAGTTTAAAACTGTCCTATTATTTCTCTGTATTTGAAGCTCCACAAAAATTTATAACCATCAAAGAAATATCGACAGAATGACTACCCCCTTTACTGATTTTTGTGTCACATGCCAACCGGACAATTTGGTCAAAGAATTCACGGAAAATTGAAACTTGCCTTTTACTGTCTTCCCTCAGTCTGTCGTTGTCTCTTTCCACTGCTTCAAGATGCTCATGCAGTCTTTCCAGCTCCTCCAGGTCTGGTACCCTGTCTGCTTCATCCGATTCTCTTAATAACACTAGCCGAGCCTGCGACTTGCTGCCTAAACTGTGGTTGATTTCGGATATCGGTGTGCTGGCGATGTTCTCCCCGTTCAATTCCAATAACCTAGGATGAAAAATATTGTTCTATAAACACTGTTCACATGGAAAAGAAATATTTGTTAAGATGGGTGGGAAAGGACGGAGAAACTATATAATAGCACTGTTTCTACACTCCATGCAGAGAGATAAACTAGTAGGGCCCAAGATGACTTTATCCCTCCCCCTCCCCTTTCTGGGTATAACCCCGCCCCTACCTGTCTCCCACTCTCATCTGACTGTTCTCTGAGCATCTCTGCACCACCGCTCCCCGGCCGCTCTGATTGGCTGTCAGTGTAAAGTCCCAACTCCTCTTGCCTCGTGATTGGTGGACAGTGAAGAGGGAGTAGTCCTGTCCGGGTTGCAGACTTTGGAAGAGCGGTTGAGACTGCTCGCCTGCCTTTCTCTGTAATATGGACGCAAATCAATAAGAGGAGTTAAGGGGGAAAGTTTGTAAAGAATCTGAGATTTAAACAGATCAAAAAGTTCAGAGCTTTTATTGCAATATGACAAGATCATTGAAAAATTGTGAAACTTGCAAAACCAAATAAGAATTCAATGAGAGAATTCTATGAAGCTGTTATAAAAGGAAGATGGTGCAAAGCATAAATCAGTTGAGATACAGTCTTGAGGAATACACACTGCGTTACATTTTGGATAGTAACCTCTTGTTGGCTACGCTAGTATTGTTGGTGCAAATGGCAAAATGATTAAATGGTTCTTAAAATATTTGCTAAATGTTTACAACATTCAATGCAAAGTCACATCCTTCATAAGTAACCCCTCAACCGTGACAAAAAGACGGCGAAATGGACAGAACATGAACAACATTTCTTCCAGCACCCACCAGAAGACGCCATGAGTTTGAACACATGCAGACGAATTAGTCGTGGCTTCTCAACACCAAAATGAGGGATAAAAATTCAAATTTTAGAAGGAATTCACCACATGGAAATAAGCTTCTAGAGGACTCTAGCCTTAAATATGTCATGTCAAAGTTTGACACCATTTTTAACAAAAGTATGCATGACGAACCAAGAGATTTACCAATGAACTGAGAATCCGCACATATGAACATTCATGCTTTTTATAAATATAAGATAGTTTTTTATATCTTACCCCAACATCTTCAGTCTTGAATGTTTAATGAAAAAGGGGGAAGTTTATTAACGTAACTAATCATTTCATTGTCACCTTGGGAGAGTTCGATTCTCTCTGCAGCTGACCGCAGACCTCTACCCACCTAGCCGGCCCAAAACTTGCAAACTGGGGGTTGGATATCTCAGCATCAATCAATACTTAATACATGCAGGGGCATAGTTAATTATTAACACACGCAATGTTTAAAGTGGGTACTGTACATAGCTACATTTTACGATTTTGACAGGTTTTTAGGAAGCCACCTTACAGGGTCAAAAGGCGGATAATGAAAATTATTTAAAAGACTCCCAAAAGCGGGACACAGACCTTCGTTTGTTGTGGATCTTGGACGGAGGAGGGGCGATTTAAACAAACCCCCGAAACTCCTAACAACAGGCCTGAGTGAGTTTGAGGGATTATGCAGGATTATAGAAGGTAAAGCCACAGCCATTTTTACATTCCAAAATTTTGATGCCCCCTCGGATAGATTTTTGGCCCCTTTTAGGATTTTTTTGTTATCTGACCTTTTCCACATTGACCTGATGATCAGTCAGTGTGAGTTCCAGCGTGGCTAGTAGCTGTGCTTGCTGCTGTTGTAATGTCAGCATGGAGGACTCCTCAAGAGCCACGCGGTATTCCAGCTCGGCCTGCTGAATGCTGCCATCAAGGCTACCAAATAAACAACAGCAAACGTTAACACGGAATTGCATGATCTGGTCTCGAAGTTGAAATATCCAGTTTTTGACATGTCACTTAATTCATTAGTCTAAGTTTCTTTTATGCTTTTATAGTGTAGCTAGGCTTTTCATCGTAAGAGGATTTACTCCTGTCTCAAGCAACCTTATGGACTGCTCTAGGCAACCGGGCTTGCAAGAGCAAATTCAAAAAGCAGACGGGATGGAGCAACCGGGCTTGCAAGAGCAAATTCAAAAAGCAGACGGGATGGAGGAAGGCTTGGCATCATTCAAAGATGGGAGGCACTGTTCATTACGCACACACACATACAGGGTACAGCCTAATATCCATATTTTATATAGCAAAGTCTGAGGGTACTACTGTTTGGCGCAATCTTAGACCTTGCACATTTAGTGTCCTTGTTCCTGAGTTGATTATCTTGTGAATTAGGGCATTTTAACTAAAATTTGTGCAAGTTCCACATTTCAGCTGAACATTATTTTGTAAGTTTATCAGAGCAGCGTTTATCAAGTTTATCCGTGGCTGGATGACGAAATTAAAACAGAAACAAGTTTTAAACTTAGAATTTGGACTTCCAACTTCCAATTCAAACAGTATAACCTGTACATATTTATCAATCTTTGCACACAGTGCCTGATAAAAACAATAGTTTTATAAGAAGAGTTTTCTGGGGTTTTTTTTAATTCCAAACCGGAAATTTACCTCCATAGTCTATGAGAAGGGAGAAAAGCCTGCAAAAATGTTTTTTTTTCCAGAAGAGCCTAAAGATACCAGCTTGAAGGTATTTTTTTAAAGAACCTTCTTGGTAAAAGTTCACACCAAAAAAAAGGCCTTGTAGCCATCAGTTAATGTATTTCTTTCTTTTTCTCACCCCTCCAGACCCCTAGCCTGTATCTGCTTCTGTTGCTGCTGTATTTTGAGGATGTTGAGTTTCTTGGTGTTCATCTCTTCTCCCACTTGATGGAGTTGGCTCTGAATGTCGACGACGGCCTTCGGCAAAGACTCTGCTAAAAGGTGGTTTTAAATTTGCAAAAGTAAAGCATAACAATGTCTCCAGCAGCTTAGGGATCTCATTCAGCAAGATGGAATGGTGAGGGTGTCTTTACTCTGATGGTAATGATCTCATAAATACAGAAATTGTAAGTGAGGAAAAGTTGGCATTCTGATTCAAGCAAAGACGTCTTGAAGGCAAAGAGAAAAATTCTAAAAGGAGCCCTGTAGCTTATCCTGAATCGCACACAGCCAATCAACTATACATTCCAAAAACTTTGCTGAAAGTTGTCAACGTCGGATTCAATGGCAACACAGTATATTTTATCAACCCTACCTGATTCAGCGGTTAGAGACGCTCTCTTTTCCTTCACACGTAGTTTGGAATCAGTCTCGTTTCGCTTGTAGGTCTGATCGAGTTGACTCAGGGCCTTCTGCACAACTGAAAGCTGAAGGGAAACATACAGGAAAAGTACAAAGATTGAAATCATAATCCTTACAAATTGTTGGATGTTTTGCACATGTTTGTTGCACATGTGTGTTTTACAATATTCTTCACCAAATAACTTCATTGTTAATTTCTCTATAATTCCGTGCATTTGTCATTTGCCTTTTCTGTTCCTTATGCATCATTTTACATTGTTGGCCCAACTTAAAACCTGCCATTCAAGATATCTTCATTACCAAGTGGCTACAAGAAAAATGCAAATTATAGTATACGAATATGTTAGGACCACTCGTTATTCATTGTGAGTAACTACAAGATTGGTAACTGGCTCCAACTTGAGTAATTGATACTAAACCTTAAAGGTACCGTACCTGTTTGGCTTTTTCCTGCAAGGTTTTGTTCTCTTGGCGGAGTGCATCTATAATGGCATCTTGTTCTTTTGTGTCTATCTCAGATTTCTTGTCAGCCTGCATAAAAAAATATACACAGTAGAAACATGAGATTGGTATCATCTTAGCACCAACTTTGTTAGTTTGCATATGGAAAAAACCCTGCTTAGTAAAGGGATACTTAACACTGTTTTCCAATAAGAGGGCCTTTATTATGCTGCCACCATTTCAGTCATGTTCCCTGTATCTAACAACAGTACTGAATGAAACTGTTATTTGTGCAAAAATGAACCAGACTATTTTTTCCTTCCAGCCCCACTTTGGTTACGTTGATTTGAATGGGGGGAATATCAAGATTGCCGCAACATGATAATGGTCAATTGACCTATCAACCCAGCTTGTGAAATATTGTCCAACTATATTATATACAAATGGACGCGGACCGCTCAAAATCTGAGACAAACAAAACTTATTTAGTGTACAAAAACTCCAGTTGTCTAAGAGGCGTGGCTAACTCGCAAACGGCGATAGGTCAAATGTTACCCTTGGTCAACTTGCAAATTGACTCTGTGACCAAGTGCCATGCTCCCCCCACCCAAGAAAAAGAGTTTTGTTTATCCCCTGTTACTTGTGGCCTGACTTGTGAACTGACTTGTCATTTGACTTGTGGTCGACTCGATTACATCTCTTGTAAGTTTTGTTGTAACTTACTGCTTGTGGAGAAGACAGTACTTTGGAAGAGCTATTCTCCTGCGTGCTCGATCTGTTTGCATCTTTGGTGCCTGCCTGTGATTGGCCCAGAGATTCCTCAATCGTTGCCATCTGTGAAATGAATAAATAAAACAATACAGTTATGTTCAGACAATGATGCATTACCAAAGTACTTTTTCACAATGATAAGCCTTGAGTAAGCTTGGAATTTTTGTGTTCACAAAAAGTTGCCAGCAACAACCATGTCAGTACGGGCAAATATGTCAGTACGGGCAAAACCCAAAATTGTATTTTTAGTATGTTTTCTGGGTTGACTTGATGATAGTGAAATGAAATTAATACAGAGGCATAACATTTCTTGGAGTGCCTTTTATCCTGGGGGAAAAAGTGCCTGAAAACAAAATTTGATTCACAAGTTCAATCAAAATGCAGGTTTGAAAAAATACCTAAAAAAAATAATGCTAAACTCTTTTATGTGGCTCTTTGATTTGAGACAATGAAAAATACAAACTGGGAGAACTTAATGAAGCTTTCTGTAATAAACGTGATGGTGATTTTTGGAAATATAACAGCAGTGAGGGTAACTAAATGGGAGATGATAGACGATATTGAATGACTGTAAAAAGCAATGGAAGATAAAGTAAAAGGCAATAATTATGAGCATGCACTGAGGACAAAAACAAACCCATTCATGATGAGTTATACAACTTCTCAGGAACGCTAGTGTAAGGGTTGAAGCTTATCTGGTGCATTTACACATGCAGGGTTGCTGGTATAGGGCTCACTCAATGACGGCCATCTCTGTAGGAGAACTGAAAACTGCGTATTTTACGCAATCAAGCAAGCATTGCGCAGTGTTGAAAATGTTCCAAACAAGCAAACTTGTTGCTCGAAATGTGTTGGAAATACAAAGCAGCCGATGCACATTATGCAAGTTGACGCTCAAAATGCCGATGCACGTGGATGGTCTGTAGGAAATGACATCATTTGAACGAGACTTAAGGGCCTTTAATTTCACAGTTATCCCAAATCTCAGAGATTTTGGATACTCCTTTCACACTAGCCAGAATCCATGTACACGGGTCCAACGCTCTACATGGGTAAAATCCAACCCTGATCAGCACCAGGGTGGAGAGGCTGTAACCGGCGAGAACATCTACAGCCGACCCGTGTACACACTGGTATAAGTGTGACCAGGTTCCGCTTATGATAAACACATGTTGATGTAGGCGAGATGATAGCAAGAAGAGGCGTTATGAATGACATACCACAAAATTTACTGTATTACCACAATTCAGGCGATTCACAATGCAGTACGCCACCAAGAGTTTGCTATGGAGAGTCCATTTTTCAAGTTTACGGTTGACAAAACACGGCCCATTTGAATGAGTGTCAGTAGACAACTTGAGCTTATTTGTAACAGATTGGGCATAGCGTTCTGCCGCCTTACAAAAACCACCATGTTTATAAAAAGAAAAGAAAAGGGCAAACATAAACTAGAATCATACCCTTACAAAACTACTGACCGGAAAAAAAACTAACAATTTCAAATGTCCCACGCTGCGAATTTGTCAACCATCTCCCACATTGCACTAGGAAAAATGAACTCTCCGTGGCAAATTCTTGGTGGCGCACTGCATTGTGAATCACCCGAACTGGAAGAATTTACTGACATGGTGTCACTCTAACGTGCAGGTAGCATGTCTTCTTAGCATGTCAATTCATTTTCTGTCACTGCTTACTCGTAAAATGATTGAAAGTAGAGGGTGAACATACAGAGGCAAAAAAAATGGATACCCAAAATGCCAGAGTGCCACCACAATATAAAGGCAGATATTTGTGGTGACCAGGTGTTGGGGACTATTATGCCTACTCACAAGAGCCAAAAGAAGACAATTTATCATTTAACACAAGGAATACATCCCCGCTCCCCTTGGCAAATTGAGTCCAAATCTTCACTATTTTGACACTAACTGTCACCCTCTCTGCACAAACTTTGTGATGTTTTCCTATACACTGAATATTCAGGTCTGGAATTATGGGGTCAACTTTGTTAAACAATAGAGTACCGAAGTGAATACATCACGCACACAATTATGTGTGTAAAAGACATTAGCGCGTGATTCAGCCCGTGAACCAACACGCGCGCGTACTCTATTTGTTTGCACTACACGTCCCAGTTCAGAATGAAGTCACACTTCGGCATTCTATAGGGCTGGGGAGTAACCTGTGATGGACTAGCATCCCATCCAGGGGGAATAGAAATATTCTCAGTCTTTTCATCAGACTGAAACCGCAGATAAACGCGGGCCTGATGGGCCACATTCGCTCGTGACAGACTTTACACTTTTTAATTTTTTCACAAAGCCCTGCCATTTTATATGGTAGGTCAATTCTGGGTCAACTTTGTTAAGAGCGATCTGATTGGTCAGATATTACGTCAGTCCATATTTGGAAGTGTTTGTGAATAATTAATCTCACAAGGTAAAAATGGCACAAATACAAAAAAGTAGACAAACACTGGCACAATATGATGAACACAGAAAAAACAAATCTTGTGTCATGGTGATGAATTGAAATGTAGAACATCTACTGGCAACAAAAATTAATGCATCATGCACTGAGTGCTTCGTGCGAAATGGAAAAAGTAAACCAAGCATGCACAATCGCAAAAGCATGCAAAATATGAAGGGCGCCCTCTATCGGTCTCACCTCTTGCTCCAGTTTGCTGAGTTTTTTGTCGTCTATGCGCAACCAGGCCAGCAGGTCGTCCGAACCTGCCGACGACCCTAGACTGAGCTGCAATCAGAAAGGTCATGCCACACATACAAAAAGTGTGTATCCGATTTAATGTCAGGTTAAATGGCAGGCGTCAAGGGTCACACACAACAAAATCTGTGCCCCTGTCCCTTCCCTTGCTTTTTTTTTTTACATCTGTTGGCTGAAATTACGTTTCTTGCCATTTTTAATTTCAACTTTGCCAAGACTTTTTATCATGAGGAAAGTCATAGCACAGACATTTAACATACATGCTTGACATTGAGAAAGAAAACCTTAACAGAAAAATATTGAAGAAACCATCGTGCTGTATGTTTGTAAGTCAAAATTCAAACTTTCTGACGACAAATTAGGACTTTCATTTTGGAAATTCACAGAAAAAAAAGTTTTTTTTCCAGATACACATAAACAAGACAAGGTAGAGTAAGGCCAAACAAAAAAAATGGTGTATTTACGGTAACGGCCTGAAAAAAATCCAGGTAGGTAGGTAGGGAAATAATTTTATTTTGTAATTTTTTTTTTCATTTCAGTTCTGCATGCCCATGCGTGTTCTTTCGAAAAAAATTGTATAAAATCATTATTCAAGCATTGAAGATATTCAATTGATACATTTCAATCCAAATTGATTTGTATCGTCGGCCAGGGTTCTCCCCAGGATTTTTTCAAACGTGTGGGGAAGATTTGCTGTGATTCAACAACCCGAAAATGTTTGAACTTTAGAAGCTCTCTGGTGCATTTTAGAGCAAATCTGGGGGTCCTTATCTTAAGGTTTGTCCTTGAAATTCAGAGGAGATCTTGTAGGTCACTAATATTTTTGTAATTAAAAGAAAAAAAATCAAAATTGTTAACTTAAAAAAAATTAACATTTCACACTCTGTGTTTCATTGCTTCCTAACTAGAAAAGTATGAATTACATTTACATGTAAGTTTCAAATTAAGAAATTAAGGTGGAGAAAAAAACAACTTTTGCTTCCAATTACATGCCTTTCAAAATAGCGTCAGTAGGTCGGAAAATTATTTCGCCCAATTTTCTTGGGGTGCTGATTAATGGAGCATCATTCGTACTAAAGAGCAAGGAATCATGTTTATTTTGTGCCTGGATTATTTTCATTTGCGCCACGAAAGTTATCAAGACTAGCTATCAAAAGTGATTCATAAATACCTAAGACAGTTTAACCATTCCTATTGGTCGAGAGCCCGTCACGTGGCCGGTCTTAAACGGATGATAAAGACATGGCTAGCTGGTCTTAAACACTTTTCCAGTGTCGCAATAAAATGTGAACTCCTAAAAATCCAGTGCCTCTTATCGTTTCATTGGTTGAACGTTCACAATCCTCACGTAGGCATGCGCAACACTACCAGGGAGTCAGAATTTTAAAGTTCTAAATTCAAAACGCAACGCGCCAGGTGCGTTCTGTGCGACATCGCTCAGAACATGATACGTGCGCGTCAATCTCCATAAAAGGGTTGTTTACATCTTACTCGCCAGCTGAACACTCCATTATTTTGCAAGAGGGATGTTTCAAAAAGCATAAAGTGAATTTGTTGAACAAAATCGGGATGTTTTGAACGAATTATATGATTTTTTCTTACCGAAAAGGTATTTATGAATGGGAATAAATATGTGCTCCGTCGGTATTTATCACTCTGTTTAAGACCACTTAGAGTCTGGGTGCTGATAATTACCCTCGCCTCCGGCTCGGGTAATTATCAGCACCCAGACTCTAAGTGGTCTTAAACAGAGTGATAAAAACCTTCGAAGCACACATTTATTCCCTTATTAAAACTTGCCTCACCTAATTAAAAATATATTTGAGGTCAGTGATTCCACTTTATGCTTAACATACATCACGGCCGCTAGCACCGCCAACATTCCGCCTGGCCGGCTGAACATCGCGCCGAACTCACGGCCCACGTGGCCGAAAATCTTGCACTACTGCAGAAACACGCTACGATGTTTCGCCACAAGTTCGAGCTTTGCAATCTCGTCATTTTAATGGAAAACACATCCACAGAAAGTAAAGATCTCGTTCTGTGAATTAATTCGCAGAAATTCTCTTTCTCCAGCGATGTTTATTTGGTAATATTTTTACGATCCAACTTCGGCCCACTACATCATCATGCTGTATGCATGATACGAAGTATGGCCCGGAGAGAGGCAGTAGTCACTGGTTCCGGTCCTTCATCATAGCTGGTGAAGGGAACCAGTGTACCATGCTGTATGTTAGCTGGGTGCTGCTGGTGGTTGACAGAACACGTCATTGTGTGCATTTTGATCACACATGCATCAGAAAAACAGGATTTTGGTCAAGATTTTGCATGTCAAGATGAAATAATGGCGTATGTAACGATCAAATTGTGCATTTTAATGGCGTGTATAATAATTATATTGTGCGTATCAGTGGCTAAAAAATGTGATCGCCATTTTTTTGTCGGCGTATCGGGCCGGCCGCAATTCCAGCGTATCAGGCCGATACGCAGTACGCACGTTTGTACGTGGGAAGCTAGAACCATGCTGTCCGTCGGCCAGCCAGGCGTACCCCGATGCGTTTGTGCAAAAATAATCGTACTTCGTAGTTTGAGAATTCAAGTTTTGAGATAGTCGCGATTTTCGCACGTTTAACACAGGTATGTTTGTGTCAAATCATGGTCAGATTCAAATGTGGAAAATGGTATTTGTTCGTGGCAAATAATTAAAAGTACTTGAAATGTTTGAAATTTGTCAATTAGGCCCAAAAAAAAGAATAGTTCTGCTTCCGGTTACCCGACCGACCCTATTTTTAGGCTGCGACCCTAAAAATTTTATCGGCAATTCCAAAAACAAACAAAAAAAAAGATTGAATAAATAAAAATAAAATTTTGTTGTCTTTTCTGTCTTCACAAAATACCTGTTTCCCGAAATTTTTGACCATGAAAACAGGTCTGTTGGCCCATGGCGGGCCGCTCGCCACACATGCTCGCATCACACACCTCGGAGTTTTGGCCAGCTCCCTGCGTCTTGACTAGCGTTGTGCATATGGTGCGAACGACCTGAATTTTCCATTTTTTTTTAAAATTATCGAACGTAAATATATTGACAATAATTAAAGGTAAGTTTTATTCACTTTTTGTTGCCATTTCGTGTATAGCTTTCGTAGTGCAATGGAAATAGTTCAGGCTAAAACTTCGCATATAATTGAAAACCCCATTCAATCTGCATAAAAAAAATTGGCCAAAAAAAAAAAATGTCCGACCGACCGACCCTATTTTTGAAAGGCATGTAATTGGAAGCAGAACTTTTTTTTTTTTTGGCCTTATCAACCTTCAAAATGGCAATAAAAAGTTTGAGGTCAGCAATTTGGCCGAAAAAATTCCAGGTCGGTCGGGTTATCGTAAACACACAATTGTTTTTGTTTGGCCTAATGAGACTTAGTCAAGATGGCTCCAGGGTACACAACATTCTTTTAAATTGATTCAGAATGGCTATTCACAGGAAGTCTTTTCATGCTTCTGGTCTACACAACGGGTCAGATTTAGCCCATTACGGGTTACCCTATAAAATAGCACTGCCCGACTCTCTTCACCAGGCAACAACCACAAGTGACAGTGACTCTGTGAGTCAGTCAGTCAGTCAGTCAGTCAGTGAGGTGCAAAGGGGGCACTAGACTGGCCCCTCTGGACCAGCAAAATCAGATAAATCAGAACAGATAAACAATATCCACCTGATGCACGGTGTCAAATGCCAAAGGTTAAAGGTCGACCTGGAGTACATGTTTTGTAGAATTTCCCAAGGTAGAAGCTGTTGCCAAAGACTGTTATTAAACTCAACCAGCCAAACGCATTAACACAATGCAAACCATTCAATGGTAACCAAATATAATATGCAGTAAATAAGTAAGGATAAGCAATTTTTATTCTGTTAAACAGACATTTTTGATACGCAAACTCACCCCTGAGAAGGAGACTTTGGAGGAGGCTTTGGAAGTCTGCGAGTCGTTTCGCTGTATCTTCAGTTCCTCTTCGGTTCCGTCCTTGTCTTCATACAGGGCCAGCTGACTATCTTTGCTTGCAACTTCACACAGCACGAAGGCGTGGGAGTCCAACTGCAACGGGATGGAGTCTGCATCTACATTGTGCAGATCTTAAAAAAGGAGAAAATTGATGAATTTGTTATTCCTGAAAATTGAAATTAACCAACAAAAAACAGTGTTATTTTTTCAGTTGCAGATGGTCCTCAAATGGTGATTAAAACTATAGACTAATTCGACAACTGTCATTTACTGAGGTGGCACTGCGGTGGCACTACGCTTGCGTGAGTCGTGCTCAGGTAGTACGCACGCATTCTGGGCTCCTTCCACCAATAGTGTTACAAAAATGTGCACGCCTTGTCTTTAAGAACGCTAGCAAATATTGGCTTAGCAGAAACAGGTCACCAGCCAAAATGTTATGAGATGTCTATTGCTGGTAAATGGTTCCCAGCCGATTTGTTCAGAGCATATAACTTTGCTAAGCAATCTTCAGCTAAGCAGCTCGGGGAGATTTGAATCCTGCAGTTTTTTTCATTTACCTCCTGCCTTATCCACCTCCAGTAAGCAGTATTTCTTAGGGTCAGCATCCGTGAGACCAAATATCTTCAGGCCTAGAGGCACCACCTCCTTGGCCGGTGTGGACAGGGAGATGGCCAGCAGCTTGCCCTTGGGCTTCTCATCGTTGAGACGCAACACCACCTGAAATGGAAATCCAAATTGTGAAAGTTTACAAAGGCAAACTGCTCAGGTTACTTTTCTTTTGTCTTCTGACAATATTCTGGGGTTTGTACAGGATCAAGGGCTGAGCGAAGATTTGATGGGGCTGCTGAAGCAAAAACTGTTGCTTTGTGAAAGTCAGGGCCGATTCAATTCAAATAAATCAAAATGAAAATTTTCCAATTTCCATTCGATCAAATATTATTGGATGATTTAGGCCAATAAATCAATAACTACTAAAGTACACTTTACAATAGGTCATTGCGATCACATCGATCAGTATAATTGCTTTGCATTACCACTGTCACCAGGGAAAGATTTGACAAAGGTTTCAACAACTAAGAATGAGAAATAATCTGACTTTAGACATTCTTTTTCTTTCTTTTTGTCCCCTCTCACTCCCCTTTTTTCATGTTTTATTTGTGAATAATCAATACTACACATAGATTCAAATACTACACAAACCATTGAATATTTGAATATTTCCAATACTGAGCACAGCATTACTGTAAGCTGGACTTGTTTAACTTGATCAAGCACAGTGAAGTATTTATACTCCAGTACGTCCCCCAGGCAGCTTGAGCTTCAAAGCAGTTTCTTCAAAGGTCTACAGTTATGGTTTCAGGTGGAGTATTCATCCTCCTCCTAAAGCAGAGCCTGCAACTCACCTTAACTGAGCCCCCTTGGGCCGGCTTCTGCCGCAGCTCAAAGTGTCGCGGTGTTTTCTCCGGCCAGTCCTGCTGAATGATGACAGGACACTCCCCATCCTCCATCACTCTCTCAAATCCTGCAAGACAGATTTGTAAAAAGACAAAACATTAAAGACAGACACTGTGAGAATTTTCTTTTTTTTGCATAATCATATATGTGTAAGTTGTTGAGGTAAAAGTAGGTTACAAAACATTACATGATTCACCAGTGTATTCCAGATGTAGCTTGTTCCTATGGACATTTGTCCCATAAACAGTACATACCACACAAGGTTACGAGTAAAACTATATGTCAAAGACTTTAACCACAATACATTACACTTACTATGGTAATCTGTGGCATGAATATGTTTAATTGTATACAAATAATGAATGTTTGTGAGTGCAATGGTAAGAAAAACTTCATGAAGTGACAGATGGAATGTTCCATTTCACGAGCAAAGCCAAGTGGAATGGAACATTCCATCTGTCACAAAATTAACTTATTCTTTCCATTGCACGAATGTGAAACATTCATTATTTGTCTTATGCAACATCTGAATAAATCCTCATCATCTGATTGGTCAGAGCCATCCATAGTGTGACCGTGCAATGGAACTTCTATTTACCATGGAATAGAACTTCTATTTTTGCGGTGTGGCCGGGCCATGGGTTGAGACGAATAATTCAATGACATGATATCAACGACCCACCGATTAGATGCCTGTTATTTGACCAGACTTGCGATGTGCAAAGTTTATGATCCACCTCAAATTCCTTAAAACCGTAACCCTCCTCAATCCTCCTCAATCCTGTGTTTGGTGTTTGGAGGATTTTCAGTTAGAGTTTACTACAACACTAATGTTTAGATCCTTTGGTGTACCACAGATTGTGGTGTTGTGTGATGAGAGAGAATTGTAATGTAAAGCTGGGGAGAGTAAGGAGTTAATATCATTGTTATACCTTTGTCTTTGCGATCAGCTAAGGATCCAGCAGCATCCAGGATGCAATACAGCCTCCAGTCCTCCACCAGGCCTAGCTGGTCCAGGCACAGCCTGATCAAGTCCTGGACGTTCTCAAAATCTGTCAGCCGCATCGACACTGTCGTAACACCTAAACAGTCAACAAAATGCGATAGTAAAAAGAATAATGAGTATCTCACAATGTACAATGGTTACTCAACCTTCTGGGCTTTTAGGAAGATCACAGATCTAAGCCATTCCCATTTTAAAGTGAAATCATACAATTTGATAAAATGGAAAATGTAAAATTGAATTATTCATAAGATGGAACCTGGGTCGTGGTGATGTAAATCGATATTAGGTTTTGCCCTTCACCAACGTATAAACACTGTATACTCAGTGTGTTACCTCCAGGGTGAAAGTTGGAAAAAAATCACTCGGGTGGGACTCGAACCCACGACCTCCTGCTTTGTAGTGCAGCCGTCTTACCTTATTATCGATAGAATTGAATTGTTTCTTAGTTTTCCCGCTATTTCATATGATACAGAGATTTTTCTGTAGCAAGTTTTCCCTCTTTTTCTCTTTGGGTAGGAGTTCAGCAAACTTGATCAGAGTGCAAGTTTGAGTTTTTGATCTAGAGGTAGCGGAAAAGAAATGGATTTGTCTACCTGATCTCATGATATCCGTCCAGACCTGGACCAAGTTGTAGTCCCGAGATTCCCTTCTCTTGGGCGAGATGACACCCTTCAACTTGGACAACCTGCAAAAAAAAAACAAGAAAAATACAAACATGCTCTTGCATACTGATCTTTGGTAGACAGAATTTGAAATCTTGCAAGGGAGTGTCTCCCTTTCCACCAGCATTGCAACCCATTCCTGTTCAGATCGTATTCTGTTTCCAGTTCCACTAGGATTTGTGATTGACTTGTGACAGATTTGTAATTGACTTGTGACAGATTTGTAATTGACTTGTGACAGATTTGTAATTGACTTGTGACAGATTTGTAATTGACTTGTGACAGATTTGTGATTGACTTGTGATGGATTTGTGATTGACTTGTGACAGATTTGTGATTGACTTGTGATGGATTTGTGATTGACTTGTGAGGGATTTATAATTGACTTGTGACTGACTTGTGACGGATTTGTGACTGACTCGTGACGGATTTGTGACTGACTTGTGACGGATTATTTATTCATACATGAATTTTACGAAGTGGGAAACGCTTCCTCTTTCTACAAATTGAGTGTTCTGTAACCTAACAAAAAGAGCATGGTGCTCATGTCCTTGAGCAGGACACTATACAGAACAAATTCCTTTTCTTCACCAATTAAAGCCCTCCCCGGTACCAATTTTATATTTGTACTGAGAGGGGAGTACTAGTTGTGGGCTTAATCAATGCAGTAAGAGTTTTCTTCCATCTGTCAATTTTAATAGCCACCACAGGCATTGATGCAAAGAATTACAAGCAAAGACGGCTTACAACTACTCTTAATAACTCACCCTCCTTTTTTCTTTTTCTCCTCTCCCTTCCCCTGGTCACTGGCCGTGCTTGCACTACGGCTCGCGCTACGGCTCGCACTGTGGCTCGCGCTGCTGAACGAGTCCGGCACCACCAACGTTTCGGGCGGCAGAATCTGGACTTCTTCGCTGTCCGACGACTGCAGGACTTTCATAGCGGCCATGTACTTCCTGTGCTCATAGCCGCTGGTGTTGTTCAAAGCACCTGGGGGATGGAAGGGGTCAAGGGCAAACCTTTCATACTTTGTTCATGTCCACCATGCAAACCTACAAGTCTCATCAGTGAAAAGGTTAATTGCCAATAAGATAAAATTAGTTTTTAACCCCTACCAAAGTAAACATAGCTGCTCATTTCACAGTGCAAGAGTTGTAGAGAGTTCAGTATTGGCACAATTCAAGGAGAAACAGACATCTCATATCTTCAACAGATTATCATTCATCTGTTCATGAACACAGCAACATTGTTTTTCAAGAAAGTGGTCTCTACGAAAGATTTCTTCTAATAAACTAGAACATATATGAGAGGTCTTTGGGTTGTTTGTTATACTAGGACTTACTGATCAGGTCTTTTTCAGGCATGTTAGCGGCAGGGTTGCTCAGCTCGTAGAGCTTGGCCAGCAGAAGTTCCCTGTCATCATCTGAAGTGATTCCCATAGAATCTACAAACAAATTAAGAAATAGCACAAACAATACATGTATTACCATTGCAAACATTCCAAGTAAGGGGTCGTCAATATTTATCAACATTTTCTAACAGGTACAAACCGTATGCTAGGGGTGGAACTGGAGGCTAAAAATGTCACTTTTATTTTCTGTCAATTTTCTTTGGTACAGTTGGGGAATCAGGGACTTGGCCTGAACCAAACTTCATGACCTTGACCTCTCCACAAGGCTTTATGACCTTTATCTGGATTACTACAATTGGCGGCCGGAAGTCCTTAAAATAAAAATGAACATTTTTTTACATATTCTCTTGGAGGGGGAGGGAACCAAAGAGACTTCTGGAAAAATAATACTTTAGATAATATTGATTTTATGAATAAGCGCTAAAATTGCAGGTGATATGGCCAGCTTTGCTGCTTAATTAAAATTGAACAGAGTTCAGACAATACTGGAAGACTAGAAACAACACTCACCTAGGAGTTGCATGTCAATGTTGAGTAGCTGTGTTCCTGTTACTTTGTGTTCTAGAAAAAAAAACAATCATAAACAACCATCTGAACATTTTCAAGACAGTCAATTGTTAAGAGATGACCAGTGAAAGATATAATAGATGAGTTAATCCTAACCAATACAACCAGCAGTGTTGGATTTTGGAGGGTTTAGGAAGGTTCTCAGCACATTGATAGATGTTGGAGGATCAGGAGGGCTTCTTACAAAAATGTCTTGGGTCAATCCATGAAAGTCCGCATTCGTTTATGTATTTTTCCTGAGATTGAAAGAGCGCCATTACCAATGAAGTGCTTCTTGAGGTGGTTCAGCTGGGCTTCCTGTAACCAAGTGAGCACATCTCTCTCGGACCAACTCGTCACGATGCTATCTGATCGACTCCGGGGACTCTGAAGGTTGCTGCTTCGGCTCTTTGGAGGTGCAGTCCTGGTAGGGCTTGTTGGGGTCTCGGAAACTGCGGTTGTGCTGGCCGGAGTTGATGACTTCTGAGGATGTTCTTCTTGAGAATTCAGAGATGTTGACCCACCCGAAGGCTTGTTGGTAGGGCTTCCAAGACCACCAACCTTGTTGATGGGACTTCTTGGACTGTCAGTCTCGTCAACCACGCTTTTGGGAGTTTTGGTTTGTTTGATGCTGCCTCTTGGTGCTGCTGATTTGTTAATTGGGCTTCTTGGGGAAGAATCATTATCGTCCGAGACTCTCTTTTTGTTACTGTTGTCAGGAAGATCGTCCAGAGGGTCACCCTCATCATCGGAATCAAAATCGAAGTCTGACTCAGAATCAGTTGCTTAGGATGTAAAAAAACAAAAATGAAGATGTAATCATTTATGGAAACCGTACTGATGTATCAAACTTAAAAGCCAATCAAATTTGGTATGGTAACATTGAAACTGCAACAGCTGTGTCATTGGATTGGCATTTGCTATCATGTGACAACAGATCTTATTCGAGGAAGCCGTTTTTGATCGTGTTCCCTGAATTTTTTGTATAAATTGTAAACTGTTGAATGGGATGGTGCCAGACTATATTGTGATTAGATTGCGTTCCTAGCCTCACTTTAAAAAATTTTTTAAATGTGGCTTAAAACATTAGGGTATGTTCAATCACAAATTTTAAATTATTCATCAGAGCAGACTGGTATGAATATGTAATGAACTTTTATTTCATTGCTTTCATTTCCACTCGTAACCTGCAAAAATGAAGACTTTACCTCGCTTTCAATTTGATAGGGCCAACTCATGAATAAAGTTAGAATGATCTCTTTGTCATTTGCTATCACAGTGCTTAGGAAGAGCTTTTTCTCCTTGAGCAAGATATTTTACTTCAATTGCCTTAAATGAAATCAGTATAGTTGGGGGAATTGAACATCATTGTGAGGTTAATTAAATTCTTGTCAAAACAAAATGAAACTCTGCATCCAAATCAGAGTTATTTCCTTCAGGACACTAGTTGCTGCTTTGTTCTTCACTGGGGTAACGGTACAAGTTTAAAATTTATCAGTGTTTCAACATTTTGTCGCTAATGCTTCCTTGAAAACTTCCCGTTAAACCTACGAGCAGGAAACCACACTTACCAGGGGAAGGTTTTCTAAGCACCAGTTTGGGCGGTGGGCTCATATTTCTTGGAGAATCTTTGACATCGGACACAGCCACGGTGGATGCCTCTGATATGTTGTTGGTGAGTTTCTTGGCTACGTCCTGGCTTGGTTTGTCAGCGGTTTGACCCAGAGCTGACAGCTGCTGGTCCAGGGTGGGAAAATTGCTGTTTGCCTAGGGAGGGTAATGAAATCATTCGGTTAAGCCCCAGTCACACATTTACAGTTTGGAAGTTCGGATCTCCACGGTTTGAAATTTGTGATAAACCGTGGGAGTACAATCCTAAGTACATTCGTAGCTATCCGTCATCTTTCTTGGGTATTCGTGGAGGGGCTACAGAAGTTTTAAACAGTTCAAAACTTCCGTGGTGAAACGTCATGAAAATCAATCCGTAGTGCAACCATGGGACATCCGTAGGACAACCGTACATTCTATTTGTACATAATCTTGGAGATTCGTAGCTCATTCGTGGTAGAAATCTCTACGAATTCAATACGAATGTCCTACAGATATAGGGTTCTGCTAAGTATTCTAGACCACTTGCAGGAGAACCTTGGTCATCAGTGGCCCAATAGTAGAAAACAACGTGGCGTTAACGTCATTATTCTTAGTAATACTGTCAATACTCTTCACAAATCCGTTCATATTCTTGACAAACCATGGTGTATTCATAGAGAAACCTTAGGACAGTAGTGGCTATCCGTCCTGAAACCGTAGAAAAATGTTGATTTCTCCACGAATCTCGACAGTTCATCGTGATATAAACCGTAGATATTCGTAGCTCCAAACCGTAAATGTGTGACTGGGGCTTTACATTATAATCATTTGATCAAGAAAATCACAAACGTGATGTTTGCGGGTACGCCAAAGGATATCTCTTCTGTGATGAGGTGTGGTTTCGAAAAAGAAACGGAGGTGTGCAATTCTAGGCATTTCAGACAGTGTACTCTGTCCTTGGGAGAATGCTGAAAATCAGTGAGAAACACCCAAAAACACCTATGTCTGAACAAGACTGATAAATACCTGTAAATCAGTCTTTGAACTATCCCGCAGCAATTTCTATTCGACTCAAAATGACATCTTTTAAAACTATCAACTACAAATGATTAAAGGTAATATACAACATGTGCAAACATCAAAAAACATAGCTACCAAATTATTATGAAACAGGCTACTCGACTGTAGGTAAACAATAGTCTCAAGCATCCTGTGAAATCATGGCACCTGGCCTGGTGTGCTGTCATTTTCAAGAAAAGTGGAAATCTTATATCAATCTCCAACAATGGTCGGCCGACCATCGTTAGGAAAAAAGAAACTTTTTCAATTACTGCCCCCAATTTACCAAATTTAGTTAGTCCACATTTTGTTTGCAACTGGTCACACATTCGTAAATGGGTGCAAGCTGGCTAGCCTGGTTCCGTGACCTAACAATTCCCTGACATTTCAGCATTTTTTTATTTGCTGTATAATAATAACCCCCAAATCCATCCATTTCTGAAAATTACAGCTAAAGCAAATATTGTATATTACCTTTAAACCTAATCCCTTCCAGATCCTTTAAAATGTATGAAGAGGTGAGGCAAATTAAGAGGATTTTGGATGATTGACCAAGGCAGAGCCCAGCCAATTTTACTTCACATGAGCTAGATGCCCATTGAGAAAGTATCCAGAATACAACATTAGGCTCCTACATAAATGTGGATTTCACAGGAAATGTAAGCAAGCCTTGGGAGTTGGGGTTGAGAACATTGTCAAGGGCTACCAGCTGACAACATCAACAACTGTAGGATTTTAGATCCATTCTAAGACAAACTGGACATCCCGAGTCCAAGGATGAGAGACTTGGGAATTTTTTGGCAACTTACCTGTTTCATACGGGCGCCTTGGACAGCATCTAGGAAGTTCTTTCTGAGAGCTGCATCATCCACGTCCAGGTCAACTGTGAGAAGGAAAACAGAACCGTCAGTGAAAGAGCTTCTGAAAAGAACAGCACATGGTGTACCAGACAAGCCAAGCAACATCCTTAATCGCTGCTCAATACAACAGGGTGCAACAAGTCTTGCCAGACCTTGCTACATTGAGCAGTAAAGAAGAGCAGTATAACTGACAATTCTGAGACAATGGGAGCTAGTCCCACTGAACAATGTCAACGGTAGTTTCATGTAGTTGCTAGCACGCTCAGATTTTGAGGATACAGTGGAACGTTGCTATACCAAACACCGTTATACCAAACATTTGGCTATACCAAACATCCTCCTTGGCGCCTGACGTTTGTGTACAAAACGTACCGAACATTGTTGTTGGAAAAAAGTGCCAACAGAAGAGCATCATGTGGCTATTATTTTCCCAAGGAATAGAAGGGGAAAGCCACCAATTGCTGTAGGTAGTAAGCTCAAAAACTTTGTTGTAGTTACATATTTCAATACTCGGCACATGTTCAAGGTCTACCAGGGCATGCAAGGTGAAGTTATGAAGGGTGTTATTTATTCAAAAGTGAGTACCAGAGCACTGGCAGCTTAAAATCGCTACACCGAACAATCCCTATTACAAACAGTTTCTGTGGATTCCGCGCTGTTTGTTATAGTGGAGTTCCACTGTAGTTGTCACGATGGGTTTTGTTAGCACGTATGGCACTTTGACAAAAGACTGCTGATTGTATTCTATGACAGGGGTAACAGACAAAGGTTGGAAATAGAACATGTATATAAATAAATGCATGTTTCACTCACTCAAATCCTCCTCTGCAACTTCCAGTAGATACTCCCCATCAATTTCACAGCCTGTGAGAAAGAAATAGCAAAATAAAACATTCATCATTTTGTTTCATCATTTGCGGCAAACATTTGAAATCATCATACATCCCAAGATATAAATTAGATAAAACTACTTGATTAACATCAACAAAAAAAAATATTTGCCTGCACGGACATTGTTAGATATTGCTTTGTGTTCACACTCAGAAAACCATATGCAAGAAAAAACAAGTTTCAATATAATGGACTAATCTATGTACAACACTCCATTTTTTTTTTTAATCTTTAAAAACATTTATGAGGTTGGCACTCACCATCAAAGAGTTCCACAAAATAGTCCAGTCCCTGATCCCCAAGCCACTGCAACACGTCCGCCTCGTCCCAAAACTCCAAGTCCCTGTCTTGGTAACCGTGACTGACGTAGCTCTGATTCTCCTGGTAAGACCCCGAAGCACTGCCTGTCGTCACGCTGTCTGAAGGGCTCGTTGGTGATCCAAAACCTGGACTTCTGAAGTCTCCGTGCTGGGGGCTTTGATTCGAGGAATATGACGCTGCATTGCTGTGCCTTGTCGAGTTCAGATCTGCATTGCTTCCGGACTGGTACAGCGAGCTGCTGTCGCCGATGGAATCATTGGCAACACTCAACGTGTCGTTGTACGGAGTCGTAGGCGCTTTGTTTTTCTTCCCGAATCTGAAGCCTCTCTTCTTTGGCGTGACGGACGGGCTGTCGGCAGAATTGATCGATTCATTCTTCTTCTTCTTCTTCTTGTCCTTTTTGGCAGATTTCTTGGTGTTCGGCGAGGCGGCATTGTTCAGGGGCGGGGTACCGGTGGGGGGCAATGCATCACTGGGGGGCAGTGCTGCTGCTTTCTTCTTCTTCTTACTGAACATAGTTGGTGTTTAGGTGGGGCCAGTGAAGATGCTACATTCTTCAAGTTCTTGCATATTATTTTGGCTAAGTATGACTGAGTATCCTTCTTGAATCAAGTTATCTGATGAGCTTCACCGCTTCAGCTAACACGATGCTTGTAGGTCACTGTAAGTTTAACAAATATACAAAACATAAAACTGGAAGGAAACGTTTCATTGCAAGCTTCCTCAACATTAATTGTAAATAAAAAATATCAAGTATCATTTTTTTTGTTAACTTTTACTTAAACATGTTAAATATCGGCCCAAAATGATGAATCCCTAAATGACACTATTCCAAAGTTGTTCTCTTAACATTTTCATGATTACTATAAAAACAAATAGGTAGGCCTACTTTTCGAACTGTTTTTTCTAACTTGGGAAACTGGGGGGAGGGGGTAGGTCTTAAACTCTCAAAAAAAGAAAATCTAGATTTTTAAAAGAATTTCTTAAAGGGAATATACATCATTCGCTTTTGCTGTAATTTTCAGAAATGGATGGAATTAGGGGGTTGGAAATATATAGCAAATATAGTTACACTGACTTTTTTGAGGTTTTGGGTTCGAAAATGCTATAAAAACGAAGAAAAGCAATCATTTTCCTCTAGTCTGGTTCCCTGACTCCATATAAGAAGAAACACAGCAGTTTACGTACATCGGGGAATTGTAAGGTCAGGGAACCAGTCTAGCTGGCTTGTACCCGTTCATAGGTGTGTAATCGATTGCAAACAAGTGCGATGGTCAATTGGGGCCAGTATTCGAAAAAAAAACACAGTTTTTTTCCAACGCTGGTCGGCCGACCAGCGTTGGAAATTGATACAAAAATACCACTTTTCTTGAAAATGACAGTATACCAGGTGCCATGATTTTACAGGATGCTTTACACTGTCATTCACTAACAGTAACAGTCCAGCAAGGTATTTCAAAATGATTTGGTAGTTTTATTTTTTGATGTTTGCAAATGTTGTATTTTCCCTTTAAGTCTCACTCTTGAGTCTTAGGCCCATGGCCCCTAATGCCCCATCAGTATCAAAAATTATTTGAAATTGAAGATTTGGTAATCGTGTAGTTTAGGACCCCGTTCCATATGAGAATGAAGACACTTTAACTTTATTTTTGGGTTTGCTAAAATAGTAGCATGGAAAGAATGTATCACTAGTATCAAGACGCCACTTCAGGGGCTGTGTACAAAGTCTATGGAGAGTCAAGAAAATTTTGGAAGTAGGCCCATTTCCTTACTATAATACAAAATTGGAAATGTTTCTCAGTCCCAGATTCATGTTTTTTTCAACACTTTTGTAATGACTGACCTCTATTGAGATGATGTATTTTTTTATGGAGAAAAAAGTGGCCTCTCGTTACTCCTAGAACTATGAGGCTCCAGGAGTAGCCTCTCGTTGCAACATTCTTTCCACTAAAATACTGTATTGAATATCGGCCGTCTTAATTGTGTAGAAAGAGGGCAGGGTTTTTATTTATGAGGAAAATGATGTGTTAAAATGATGACAGCCAGCGCCTAAACCGCTTTTTGTGTTAAAACAGTTAAAGACTAAGAAAGTCACATTTTCTTCCACCCTTGTCCACTGCACTGGCCTACAAAAGTAGTACAACAAGTACACGACTACTCAAAATCACAGAAACCTAGATTAATATCTCTAAATAATTTTTTTTTTCAAAACTGTTGGGGCTGCAAAAGTCATTTTGGAAAATTTGACAGTCATTTGCAAAGTTGTCATGAAACTGAAACTTGAAAGTCATTTTGAACGAAAAACAGTTAAAAAACGGGAGGTGTACCCACGTTCTCTAATTAAGTAGTTTAACCCTCAAAATTTGTGATATAACCACTAACGTTAACTTACCCTCTTAGACTTAGCCTATGCCTCCCAGAAATTTGTGACATTTGAACTAAAATATGCATTCAGTTCGTTGATTTATTGTACTGCAGTGCTAGTGAGTGATGAATTGTTATTCACATGCAAATGATTATTGAACATATAGTTCATCGGGCTTGCGAGAACGCATGTACTGTGTGATTCTGCAAAGCGTGCCAAATACACGTAGAGAAATTGCGGCGATAGGGGTTAGCGATAGCGCCCTCTCGCGCTCATTGCCTCACATGTTTGGGTAGTACAGCTGGAGCTGCTACTAGCTGTGCGAGGCTGAGGTCGATCATCATGATAAAAAGTTGTCTATAAGACATACATGTTTGTGGCTGATGTATATGGTTTTTAAAATTTCTGTGGCTGAGGTCCTCTGTCAAGTCATCAGAGGCCATCTCCTGTCCCACAACCGACTTAAATGTACACCACAATTAAATCCCGGGGAAGTGGAGGAAACCCAAACACCACCCCTAAAATACAAATCATACATGCACACCGACAGTATCAAACAAGAAGACATCATTAGACAGACCACATGACAAAATGACCAACCGAAGACCACCCAAGTGACAGACTGATCGATAGACAGCCAGACGGACGGACAAACATACCAACTACATGAACAGACCAAGAAGAAAGCGCCAGTTCTCGCAGCAGTGTCGTACCGTAGCACGGTCATTTTTATTGGGGGGGGGGGGTCAAACATTTCTTGAAAAGGGCACTTGCACATTCGTGGTGAAATGTAGACACTTTTTTTTGGACGCTTGGCCTCCGTGAAATCAAAAAGCGGTGGGGGGGGGGGGGAGGAGGTGGCTGGTACCATCTGTTGATGGGGGCGCAATATATGATGCTTTTCAGGGCGATATGATGCTTTTCAATTCACTGAGGGCGATACCGTGCATGAAATTTAAAAAAAAGGCATCTGGAAAACGTACGGCCGATGGCACAAAAAAGAGCACCACTTCTTTTTAAAAAGGGCACTTCTTAAAAAAGGGCAGTCTTTGCAAAATATTGGGGGCCTATGATGCGCAGTGTGCATGCTATCAGAAAATTAAAGTTTAAATCGTACTATAGGATAATGACCGGTAGTAATAATGCTGTTCAGTCCTCAGTGTGAAACGGTGACATCCATGCAGATAACTTCTGCTTAGCATTTAAAAACGTTTTAACACTTTTGATTGTTTTCAATTGTTCAGTAGCATACTCCAGTTGACCTCTAAACACTTGAAAAATCTGTGATAGGATTCGCCTCACTTTTTTTTTTACTACATGTACTGTACTTACATCGGACTAGTGAAACGGACTCTAGTCCACGGGCCTTTCCACTATAGTCGGCAACTTTAGTAGACTTTTAAATAACAACTTGTACCATATAGTCAAGAACAATGTTATTTACAATATTTTTGACTCGCCAGGCGGACTAAGGAATCGTGGTTTTGACTAATCCGCCCTACACGCATACATCGAGACTATATATACCAACAAGTGCACATACGCACCTGTGATTGGACTCAATTAGGCAAATGTTCTGTTAAAGTTTGGTCTGCAACTGCAGCCTATGGCATGTTGTTTTCGTGTTAACACAAAACACTGTTGATGGAGAAAAAAAAAAGACATTTTGTCTCAATATTCTGTCTTGTTTGTCTATTTTTCGTAACCAATCATCGGGCCACAATTCAAATCAATGCATCACTTAATTTTTGAGAGAGCGTGTCCACCTAGTTTTGGCTGCGCAAAAGTGAGGCAAATGTTCTGTTTGGACTGCGACTGCAGCCTATTTCCAAGTTTTTTTTTCTCCGCGTTGACACAAGACACTAGCTGTTGAGGAAGAGAACAACCATATTTTGTCTCAATCTTCTGTCTTGTTTGTCTATTTTTCATGACCAATCATCGGGCCACAATTCAATGCATCTCTTACTTTTTGAGACAGCGTGTCCACCATTGATTCTAGATGCTCATGTGGTGTGATCTGAGGCAATTTTTGACCACTTTAACCAATATTTTCCCAGCAAAAAATAATGATTTAAACACCAGTTTCGAGGTTGAAGTAATTGAATAAGCTATTATATTCTTAGCTAAAGGCGTGGGGTTCGGGGCCCGCTTAAGGGCCCCGAAAAAAAAAAATGATTGTGGCGATCTGAGGCTATGATGACCACTTTAACCAATATTTTCCAAGCAAAAGATAATAATTTGAAAATCATTTTCGAGGTTGAAGTAATTGAATAAGCAATTATATTCTAAGCTAAAGGCGTGGGGTTCGGGGTCTGAGGGCCCCGAAAAATTTTGGATTCTAAATGGTCTGTGGTGCGATCTGAGGCAATTTCTGACCACTTTAACCAATATTTTCTTAGCAAAAGATACATTGTAGTACATAAGAGGGCCCTGTAAATGAGGCACGAGTTCAAAAATCTGGGGGGGGGGGGACATTTGATATTGTGTCCCCCAAAAGTGGGGGGGGGGGACATGTCCCCCTGGCCCCCCCCCCCCCCCGGAATTGACGCCCGCGAGACACTGTTGAGGGAGAGAAAAATCATATTTTGTCTCAATTTTCTGTCTTGTTTGTCTATTTTTCAACGATTCAATTCAATGCATTTCTTATTTTTTTGAGATCATGTCCAGCCGGAGTACTGTTTCTGTGCAAAAGTGAGGCAAATGTTCTGTTTGGACTGCGACTCAGTGCAGCCTATCGCCAACTTTTTCTCCGTGTTGACACAAGACACTGTTGAGGGAGATAACAAACATATTTTGTCTCAATCTTTTGTCTTGTTTGTATATTTTTCATGACTAATCATCGGGTCACAATTCAATTCAATGCATCACTTAATTTTTGAGATAGCGTGTCCACCTGGACTATAGTTTCCGTGCCGTAAGGCAAATGTTCTGTTTGGTCGGACTGCGAATGAAGCCTGTCGCGATCGCCAAGTTTGTTTTTCTCCAAGTTTGTTTATTTTTTCTCCGCGTTGACACAAGACACTGTTGAGGGAGCGAAAAAAACATATTTTGTCTCAATCTTCTGTCTTGTTTGTCTATTTTGTTCATGAGTAATCATCGTGCTACAATTCATTTCAATGCATTGCTTATTTTTTGAGATTTTTTGTGTCCACCTGCACTATCGTTTCTGTGCAAAAAGTGCAAATGTTCTGTTTGGACTGCGACTGCTGCCTATCGCAAGTTTTTACCGTGTTGACACAAAACACTATTGATGGAGAGAAAAACAATAGTTTGTCTCAGTATCAGTTCTGTCTTGTTTGTCTATTTTTCATGATCAATCATCGGGCCAGAATTCAATTCAATGCCTCAATTAATTTTTGAATGAGGGTGGCCCCGGCCACGAGGACTATCATTTCTTTGCAAAAAGTCGGAAATTCCGCCGCTCCATTACTTCCAGTATTGTAACTGTGAATATTCACTCTTTTGTATCTCGAGTGGGGAGAGAGAAAAAAATGTGAAGCGTAAAAAACTGAAGCAAAATTAGTGATTTCAATAAACAAGCGTGTCTGTTTGTTGGTGTTTTTTTTTACAATTTTGTCTTGATAATCGATCATACATTTTTCGGGCAAGCGAGGGCGCTGTGTAGGTTTTACGATCATCCCCGAAGTGCCGATGATGTGTGCTGAACAACATCATGTACATAAATAACTAGACCGACGATTGTGCGTGCGTGTACGTACGTGTATGTAGCGATATCGTACGTGCATTGTAGAGAATATCGTGCACTGTCAATCATTTCAATAGTTTTACTTCCCAGATACATGTCATGCATGTAGTAACATGAATGTCAACAGAAGACCACAACCGTGAAATTGGCGATTTCCTCACATTCTCAAAATGGCGGTGGCCAGCGAATTGGAGTGGATCCCGGAGACATTGTACAACTCGGCCATCACTGCCGTCGTGTCGACTTATTCTCGGCACCGCCCGGAGCTCCGATCGCTGCCGGAAAACATCCAGTTCGATGTTTACTACAAGGTGAGAAATAAACAATTTCACAATCTGTCGATCGATTGATGAATGTAGGCAAACGTGCTGATATTGGCAAATCCATATATTATGGTTGACTGCTGTACTAATTGATCGGTCATTCATGTCATTTTTGTAATATTTTGGCCTTTCTTTCTAGCAACATTTGTCATTTTTAAAGAGTAAAATTTCTTTCTGAAATTTATTTTTCTTTCAGAAAAGATTTCTTTCTGACTTAGAATAGTTGGTTACCTTTCATTTACCAAATGCCTTTGGCAATTTAGAGTCTATGGTTTTACTTTGATTTGTTTTAGGGCCAATAATTTAACATGACTGTTTGACGTGTTATAATTTATATTGATGTGTGTAATGTTTGAGTTAACGTTATTTACTGAATGACTCCATTTATAATTTTAGTACATGTATCATCAGACCCTTTAAAACTACACCATCCTATTTCTACGCACTTGCTTTAATTTGCGTTGGCAACGTGCGCGATGCAAAGCGTTACCTGCGCAGATTATGAAGGATTGAGGATGATCATATTAATAAATACGCAGTAGGCCCCAGCTGTCAGATGGCAGTTGACCACCTGGTTCCCAGACCTGACAGTAGTCCACATCAGGATCTTCGGCTCTTGGAACCACCGAATCAGACTATCAACCGAATGGGTCTTGGGCTTATTACCCTTTTAACAAATTCTACCAAGCCATGAATCACCAAGTAAGACCCCCCAAAAAAATGAATTATGCTTCAATTCGATTAAAAACAGAAAAGCAAAAAAACTTATTATTAAAAGAACAAAAAGGGAAATAAAAACATTTCACAGTGCGGATTCTATCCCAGATGTAACACCCAAACTATGGCTTCGTCCCAACTGAAGTTATAGTTAGGATGATCCCAACTACAGTTAGGATCGCTGTACTATACTTAAAAATTCCCCAACTATTGTTAGGCCTGTTCCAACAACAGTTGGGACCATTGCCATAGTTGGGGCGTAATACTGATAGTTTCAAGAGATGAATGACTGAACTGTCTTCCAAACAGAGACCTTATCTCCAGCTTGTGCTGTTGTTTTCTATCACATCCGCAGCTATACAAACAGGGTCGACTTTGTCAGTTAGGCATGGAATTCTGTGAGCTGGATGTCTTTGCGAAAGTCCTGCGTGCCAACGACAAAAGGTAGTAATATACAGTGCTGTTCACATTTGTAAGTCCAACTCTGGACAGCAACTTGATAAAAGACTGGCTGATCTTTGGAGTAAATTTTTATACTACACAAGTATGGGTTCATTGCACAATTACAAATCCCTTTGTTTATTCATACCCGTAATATTTACACACACAATACTACACACTTTCCCAACCATTGGGAAATCCCAACCTCTTGTTGAGCAAGTCTTAACTATAGTTGGAAGAGTCACAACCTCTAGTTAGGAAAGTCCTAACTATAGTTGAGAGAGTTCCAACCTCTAGTTTGAAAAGTCCCAACTATAGTGGGGAGAGTCCTAGCCTCTAGTTTGAAAAGTCCTAACTATAGTGGGGAGAGTCCCAGCCTCTAGTTTGAAAAGTCCTAACTATAGTTGGAAGAGTCCCAGCCTCTGGTTAGGAAAGTCCTCACTATAGTTAGGAGAGTCCCAACATTAAGTTGGGAAAGTCCTAACTATGTTAAAAGTCCTTACTTTAGTTGTGGACAGTTCTAGCTATAGTTGGGATGCTGCTTAATGTTTACTGTGGTATTGAATCACAATTCACCAACTACCCAGATTAAACCTAAGCTGCATTGCATCACGGATCATATTTGTAAATAATTTGACAAAAGTTTTATGATACTTTCCCTCTAATTTGTGTTGATGGTCTTGTTTTGTAGACATCTACTGCACCATTGCCTGCAAGCCTTGATGGACCATGGTGTTAAGGTGGCATCGGTGCTTGCTGATTCCTACGCCACCCAGGCTGCATTGCTGCGCGTCGAGCAAACCAGCAGCATGGAGAAGGCTATACAACTGGCATTTTCACTGGGTAAGGAGCTCACTTAATACATGGAATATACACTCACGTATTTAGAGGAGAAAATGAATTGAGTTATCCTCTGTATTCCTTACCAGAAGATCTACAAGTATGAATACATTGTGTTGGTGTACCTATTCTAATTTCCCTCCACCACTGTGTTTCTCCTAGGTGGGTTCTTGTCGGAGGCTGGGTGGTACTACGAAGCGGAGAAAGTCATTGACGCTTGCCTGAGGCTGTGCATGCTGCATGAGGATGAAGCCCATCAATGCATGGCGTACGAGTGCTGTACAATGTAAGTTGTATATCTGTAATATAAAAACAGTGATGGATTTACACGGATGCCTTCAATCCAAACTTTCACCACGCCTTAAAGACATGTTTCAATTACCCCAAAATGTACCTACCAATTTAATGAGAAAAATCCTTGCTCAAAGTGAAGATAGAACTGGTACCACCGTACCAAACACCCTGTGAAATTATTCCGCCCGAAATGGTATCATTCGGGGAAAAAACCAATCATTGAAGGTGGTTTGAGAAAGTATGCCTGCAGGCACAGTTTTTTATGTGCATTAGCAATAGAATCCAGATGTGAAACCTGAAAAACTGTGCATACATTTTCTCTGATTTAAAAAAAAGAAGTTTAGTATCCACTAAGCTGAAACTTCAGTAATTCAGTTGTTATGCACCCTTCTTAGGATTTTGAACAAAATTGTAGCTTCTAAAAAGAAATTCACAAAAGGTAGATATTCCCACGTACCTTCAAGTTTTGGTTTACCTGTATGCTCAACACTTCTAATCATGAGATTTTTTTGGCAGAGCCACTGATTTTTATTTTGTTTTAATAATATTTGAAGGTTGGCAGATTTTCCTAAAACTCTGCATCTTGTTCAGACATGTACAGTAAGCACATAGGCTGAAGGAAAGTACATATAGAGGCCAGCACCTATTCCGTCACATGGGTCTTGATGCTGCTTGAAGGTTCAGGCAATGTGTAATAGGGTTCTTTTACTTGTAAATGTCGAAGGATTTCACACAAAATCTACGGTATTATAAATTCCTTTGTTATTGAAATTGATATTGAAATGTCCATGTGTATATGTAGGTTGATCCATGTGCGGAATGCTAACTGCCGGTACGCTCAGGCGGAGGACTCCTACAACAAAGCCATGAGCATTATGAATAACCTACAAGAGAAGAAGCGACAGATTAACCTGGCTGCACTCCACGGTGAAATGTGTGCTCTGCTGTTTGCTAAAAGCCAATATGATGAGGTATGGTTGGAGGGTTTTCATAAAGACAAGAAAAACTTGAGTAATGTAACTTACCTTGTTGTGTAAACTACAAATTGGAGCAACAGTTCGAACGGTTTAACTTAATTAAAGTCATATTTCTCCGGTAAGAGGACATTTCTTGACAACCTTTTTCAAACCATTGTTAATAAGACAATGGGATGAGTTTGTTCCAGAGGAGCTGGCTTTTTTGATCAATAAATTTTCAAAAATAGAGTAATCATAGCTTTCTGATGTGAAGTTTGTCTGCTGAACTGGTATTATGTACACACAAAAGGATTCCCATATGATATTTCAAAATTAAAATTGCATCGTCTGGAAGGAAACAATCATTGATGGTGATTTTAAAAAGAGTGCCTATGGGCAGAAATAGCAAATGATCCTATGTACATGTAAACATCCTGATATGAGCCTAGTGTACTTCCAGTTAAAGCTATAGTCCATCATTTGCAGCCATCCGAAAAGTAACTGGCGTAATTATTGTTGAAAAACAAACTTAGTTGAAAGATAGTAAGGGAACTAAACTCCCTGTGAAATTATTATTTCTGGGAAGATGTCATTTTGAAGTAATCAACGAAAGAAGGCATTTCCAATGGTAATTCTTAAGAAGCACGGTAGGAAAATTTAAATTAGTAGTTCGTTTTGTTATTCAGCGCAGCGCGCAAGTGTTGGAACGACGCACACGCGCGCGCGGTTGTTATAATTCGTCGGATCAGTGCGCGACGTCGTGTATAGCTTCAATTCAAAACATGATTCAGTAACTTTTGATTTGAAATTGAGATCTTAGAATGCTGTTTTTCTCGGAATGTACAGCTGAAGCTTAGCTGAAACCTTATCAGGTTAGTTGCTTAGTATCCTTTATTAGATTTTGAACTCTTTTGTTGCTTCAAACGAACAAAATGCACAAATTACAAATGATGGACTATAGCTTTAAAGTATAAGTACAGAAGTCTGGTGTAAGCAGGTTTGAATCTTACATATCAATTTCACAAAAATTAAGAATATGTACTTTGTTTTTGGTAACAGGCTTATAACCACTGTGTCCTGGCACTCAAGAGCATCAACAACAACATACCAGTCCGCTGCATCGTTCACATTCTGCGGCAGGCTGCCAAGGCCTGCGTCGTCAAGCGAGAATTCAAGAAGGCTGAGCTGCTCATCAAACATGCCATCTTTCTGGTCAGGTAAGAGGAATCAAATACTTGTGTTTGACAGGCCCGGTTCATATGACACGCAAACTTCAGTGCGAAGCAAATTTGTCCGGGTAAATGCATGTGTCACAATGGAACTTCAGTATTCATGGAAGTTGCTTTTGCTTTCGTGTGAACTTTCAGCGGGCCGATAGAGAGGAAAAAAAAGGGAACATACACATCATACATTGTAAACATCATGATTGCCCAGGCCCAAGTTTCATGTTGTCCACCGGGCTAGCTGTCCAATAAATGTCAAGCGTTCTTGACAAGTTGCTACAGTAAAAATTATATGCATGGTGATTTGGGAAAGAATAAATCTACATGTGTGTATGTGTAATCATTTGAATGAATGCAAATTTCCTTTTCTTGCTTCCAGGGAACATTTTGGAACGAGACATCCCAAATATTCCGACATCCTTCTGGACTTTGGCTTCTATCTGCTGAACATTGACTCCATCAGTCAGTCAACAGTTGTTTATCAGGTACTTTTACTTATCAAAAAAAGTACTTCTTTCCAAGATTCCTTTGATACTGCAGCTAACTGCCCACAGCAATTTGAATAACTCCTCTTTGAGCTGGCAAGTTAAAACAATTCTGAGCTTACGATAACTGCTCTGTGCTTATAGCATTTAGCACAGAAAGTCTGTGCTATGCCTGTAAGCACAGAATCCTTGGTTAAGGAACCTACACACACGCACATCAGAGTGCATGGCATGAAACGTCATGCCGTCCAACTTGTTTGAATTGGAATATTTGAGGTCAATCCAGTCAGTAAGCAGTTGGCAGCAGTTTTATTCATTAAAACGTGACCTTATACATTGTTATTGTTTGCTTTCTGCCCCGACAGCAAGCCCTAGACATCAGGCTCTCAGCGTTTGGGGGTCGCAACCTCCATGTCGCCATTGCGCACGAGGACCTGGCATACGCGTCTTACGTCCACCAGTATAGCTCAGGCAAATTTGATGACGCTCGGTAAGGATATCTTGGTTTTTTTTTATCACCGGCGTACATTTTTTGAAATGAACCAGTTAGAAACCCAACGTCATTAACCAATGAGATTCCTGCTTTTAAGCAAGAAAATGACACTGTTTTGCATTGTGACATAAGAAGACATGCGATTGGCTGTTATTATAAACGTTGTATCATTTACACATAGTAAACAATTTCGAAGTATTTACTTCATTCATTTTGTTTTATATTTTGATAATGCAGAGAGCATGCGGAAAAAGCTATCTCCATTATCACCCAGATCCTACCAGAGAATCATCTATTATTAGCATCGTCTAGAAGGGTCAAAGGTCAGTATGAAAGGTCATGACGTGACCTTTACAATCATATGCTGGTTAATTTCAGAGTAGTTCTTACCTCGATGTATGGAAGGCACTTCATCTCCAATTACAGACATGTAACATTATAAACTCCACCCATTATTACTCCACATGCCAGTGCATGAATAAACCTAATAGTTCAGTTATTTGGACCCTCTTAAGGACCAAAAAAGCTGTTGTGTTGCTGACCCAGAAATCTCTGGTCAGGCCATGAGACCATGCGGCAGCCGATATCAGCACACATTCGGTCCTCTACCCTCACAGGTACCCATTTATACTCCTTGGTGGAGAGAGGCAAGTGTCTTGCCCAAGGGCACAAACACCATGTTCCTGGCAGGGTTTGAACCCACGCATCCTCATACACGAGTCAAACACTGTAACCACTGGACCATGTCATACGTACCAGAGAATAGAACCCCAAGATAGGTCCTACATAGACTTATATGCAACAGTAGCGACCATAAGTTAGGTTTCTGGTGGTACCACACCAAAACCTTAATGGCAGACGACTTCACTTCGCATCAGAAGGTAGTCAAATTGACCAACATCTGGGACCAGTAATTCCACACTACTTTCTCTCATTTGTATTCAATCGTGTTCCCGCAGCCCTGATCCTTGAGGAGATTGCCATCGATTCCCATGACAAGGACACAGAAGGCAAGCTGCTCCAGGAGGCCCATGACCTGCACCTCTCATCTCTCAACCTGGCCAAGACGGCCTTCGGAGAGTTCAACGTCCAGACCGCTAAGCATTACGGCAACTTAGGCAGGCTGTACCAGTCCATGCACAGATACAAGGTATCACATTTCTCAGATCTTTTTTTTCTATCCTAAGTACTAGGCGCTCACTTTCACTAAGCACTGTCGTATGTCGTCACTTGCGTTGCAATGCTTGGCATATCACAACTTGCAGGACATATTGTTAGTTATTACAAAAAGCTTGTTGAGTTGAACTCATTGCAAAATATTCCACAATGGTGTAAAACATATGGTTTGACAAACATAAAGAAGTGTCTCCTCTGAGGCAGTTTCATGGATACAGTTTGAAGTACAAACCCAGCATTTGCCCTTGAACCTGAACGGTTGACAAATTTCCCCCTTTGGCTTAACAGGAGGCGGAGGAGATGCACAAGAAAGCCATCACCATCAAGGAGAGGCTTCTAGGCGAGGAGGACTACGAAGTGGCGTTGTCTGTCGGTCATCTAGCGTCGCTGTATAACTATGACATGAAGCAATACTCTGAGGCTGAGGCCCTGTACCTGAGGTCTATTGACATAGGTATGCATACGGTCGCTCATAAGGTTGTGAGTTTTCTGCTGCAGCTTGGGATCAGCGCAGTCTGGTCTCTGCCCTCACGGACATCGTTTTATACTCATGGGTGGAGAGAAGCAATTGTAGTGAAGTATCTTGCCCAAGAACACAAACACCATGTCCCCGTCAGGGTTGAATACAAATACCATTGCACAGGAGTTAGACAACGTAAACGTGACCAGTGGACCAAGATCCACCACTTGCTTGTGTCCCTCTGCAAGACGTGATCTTAATTGCTTTGCTTTACTCGGAACTCCATGGATACAACGCAGAGATGGAGTTAGACTCCATTGTCTAAGAGAATGCGACCACATGGCCAGGTGTACATTATCTGAAAGAGTAGCTTGTAGTTCAGAAAGTTTTGCAGAAGAGGGTAAATATGCTTGTTTTTAATGAAATTAACTGTTTATCACCCACAGGGAAGAAGCTGTTCGGTCCCGGCTACAGCGGTCTGGAGTACGACTACCGTGGCCTGATCCGCCTCTACATCAACACTGGCGAGTTTGAGAAGATGAACGACTACCACGAGGTACTGAACCGATGGAAGCTGCTGCGGGAGGGCTCGCCGAGTCCCGTCAATATCGTAGACTACCTGGCCAACTACAAGAGTGATCTGACCACGGAGCAGGTCATTCAGAAGTTCTTTAAGCAGGACTGAGGTCATCAGTTTCTGTTTTATGTCCAGACTTGTGATTGGAACCAATCTTAGGAACTATCTGGCCATTCTTCAGAACTGAAGCCATCTGATCTGTGTTTGTCCGGACTTGGGGTTGGAACCAGTATAAGGAACATTGTAGAACACCTGATCACAGAAAAGGTCATTCAGAAGTTCTTTGAGCGGACAGAAGCTGTTGACTCCTTGTCAATGTCTAAGAGCGGGACTGGAACCAATCTTCGAAACTATGTAAAATTAGGAGGCCCTTGTGGAGTTCTTGAAGCAGAATTGAAGCCATCTACATTTGTGAATGTCCAGGAGCAGGACTGGAACCAATCTGGGGAACTTTGTTGAAGATCAGATCACAAAAAAAAAGGTTATTAAAAGATCTTCCCTGAGAACTAAAGCTGTCGATGGATGTCAGTGACCAGGTGTGTGGCTGAAACCCATCTCAGGAGTGTCCGATCACAGAACTGGTGATTCTGAAGTTCTTTGTGATGTGCACCTGCTCTGTTTACAGGAGATAATGAGGGTTTGAACCCACTATATTTAATCATCATTAACCTTCAACTTTTTGTAACACTTGTGGTTTGCAGCAGCAAGGATTCAAACCAGCCATACCTCTTAAATACGTCGGGAACTTCCTGTAGGACTGTTCACATCATTGGCACATGACCCGCAGTTGGGAGAGCAATTCTAAATACAGAGAAATGCTGTTCCATCTGGGAAGTATTCCAGGTGGGAAACTGCATTCCATTTTCAAGACTAGTGCATTTACGGGTAGTACTGGAACCGGGTACCCTATTGAAGTAAAACACGGGTACCCGGGTACCCGTCAAAGAAACCCAACCCAAAATTCAAATCCTGGAAGTTGTCTGAAGGTTCTGAAGCTTTGTAGTGTAAACTGTAAGCTTCGCGAGCGTCATCTGTCACACGTTAAAATGCACATAAACGAGAAATCTGTTTTGGTTTTCCGTGTAGCCTGGTTTCCATTTTGAAAATTCCCAACAAAAAGGCATTTCAAAACCTTTCCTTTTCATATTCTGAGAAGTTACTTAGTAATTTGTAAAGTTGGTTACAGGTACCCGATGCCATAATCTGGAACTGGTTTCTGACATCAGCCGTCGGGCACTTGGGTACCCAGTTCCAATTCACAGCCCTATTCAAGACACTCTCTTACGTTCCATAAAATGACTAGCTGTAATTATGAATGAAAGATGATTGAATTAAAAGTTCAATTTTTTTTAATGTTTAAGTGGTACATATATGCGTACCAGAGAAAGTATATATTCATTATTTTGGCCAGATTTTCAGATGCTAAGCTTGACATGTTAGGCTTGGGTCTCTTCTTTATCTGATATATTTATTGCACCCCTAAACCCCTGTATTCCCTATCCGGTTCGTTAGTGTGACGTCAGTTCAGTCTAAACCACGCACACTAGCAATTAAGTAGCATTGGAACCATTGAAACCGGAAGTTAACGCAACTTCAGTGTTTAGCCAATGGCGCCAGTAATCATTGGTGCGCGCGCGTGCATGACGTTTTTACTAACGAACCGGATACCGCTCTTAACATCACCAGTATTGTGTTAACTAATCCAGTGAACAAAATAAGCCATTTTTAGGTGGCACCACGTCTGCTCGCATGCTGGAGAACAGCTGCTTCTTAAAGACGAGGGGCGCGCGCATTTTGGTAACCCTATTGGTCGTAGGAGCCCTGAGTGCACGCGTATTACCGGAGCGCAACTAGTGCGAGCCTAGTACCACATCAGAAAATGGCGGTTGCCGGATTAATCTATACATTGTTCATATTTTTTTTATGGATTCATCTAAGAATAAAACAAATGTAATTCAATAGGGTAAATAACAACCAAAAATAAAGTTTGAAATGTTGGTCCATAAAAGCCACTAGTTACTAGTCTTATGTAGAAATGTGTACATAACCTTCAAAATATTTAACTCAATTATGCATCAGTGGAAGGTCCAGAAATATAACTTGTTATATACCAGTTGAAAAATAGTTGGTGTTTTCGCTGCCAAAGTATGTAAGTTGCTGTTTGTTTGCACCTCACAAAAAACTGTTTGAAAAAGTTACCAGAAAAGAGTCACAAAAATCTGAAACGGCAACATTTTCTCACTTGAAATGAGTGGAATTTGTTTCTGCAGATATTGTCAAGGTTTACGTCTTACTTCTGACCAACCCAGCCAATTTTCTGACACTTTGTTTAAAGAAAACCCATCTAGGTTTGTACTACTTGTAATTGGCAGATATAATATACCTAAACTTGAAAACTCCCGTTAAAATTCCTTAACCATCCATCAGATATAGCCAATTTTTGGGAGAAAACTTATTATGAATATGTAATGTCTGATACAATTTTCACATGCCCTACCTCCCTATCTGCGAGTTTTTTTTTTTTTTGATTTAAAGTTTAGTTACACAAAAAAAAGGTTAAAGTGTAGCTTTTGAACCCCACCCCTCAGTATCCATTGTATTAATTATTTACTTTAATTTTAAAACTTAAGCTTTAAAATGTTAATGGCTTATGGCTAGCAACTTTTTTTGTTTAATTTCCTATGACTTTCAGGAAAGAAAACATCAATGTAAATAAAGCCAAACAAAAATAAAGATATGTCATAATACGTAGATGCAGTTTGGTGCAATATTTATGTAAAGCTTTATCAACCACTGTACATTACAATAAAAGCTGTACGGATAAAATAGCATTGAAAGCATTTAATCCTAATAAAGGTCTATTCAGAAAGAAGACATTGAGTTTTGTTTTTGTCCCTTTTCTTTTTCCAATCAGTTACAGGGAATTACATGCATGACCTAATTGGAACATTGGATGCTCCAACTTAAGTTGGGACCGTCTGGAGCACTTACGTTGGGATGGTCTCATCTTAAGTTGGGACGATCCCAACTTAAATTGGGATGATCCCATCTTAAGTTGGGACAGTTCCATCTTAAGTTGGGACAGTTCCATCTTAAGTTGGGACAGTTCCCATCTTAAGTTGGGACAGTTCCATCTTAAGTTGGGACGATCTCATCTTAAGTTGGGACGATCTCATCTTAAGTTGGGACAGTTCCATCTTAAGTTGGGATGATCTCATATTAAGTTGGGACGGTTTCATCTTTAGTAGGGACGATCTCATCTTAAGTTGGGATGGTCCCATTTTAAGTTCGGACAGTTCCATCTTAAGTTGGGACGGTCTCATTTTAAGTTGGGACGGTCCCATCTTAAAAACCGGTTCATACTTCATGCGAATGGAAATGCAATGGGTATTTGATATGATGAAAAACTGCAGGAATGCGGATTCGGTTACCACATCCCCCATAGACTTATGTGCATTCATCTGCTTTGTTTATCTCTCATAAAGAATTCGCTCTTGTCACACTCTGCCATTGGGCATGCAGAGCCTCGATCTGGCAACTTTACACAATAAAAATAGCCAGTTCAGTGATCTGAACCCCAACACGGGAATCACTGAACCGGCTATATTCATTGTGTAAAGTTGCCAGATCGAGGCGCTGCATGCCCATGGCGGAAGTGTGAAAAGAGCGAATTGTAGACTCTTGTTGTGCGCAGGCGCAGTTGAAATAGCAAAAAGGCTACTTACTAGAGTGCTATATACATATTGCTGTTGACTAATCCGGTGTTATATGAATTTTGGACTCCTATGAAATCGGGTCTCTTACCTTATTAGGACTCCGATCTGTCACTGTCCTAACTGTCTTCACTGAGGCATACGCAATACAATCAACGAGTCTGTATTTCACAAGAGTCCAAATTTCACACTACACCAGGCTCAGAGATGGTGTTCACTCACGATGGCCCCCATTAATGGTAGAAGCACTGTGCCAACTATTGTACAAAAAACACTTCACAGTACTTCCACCATTACTGCAGGCCACTGTTTAATAGTGAGCAACACATGTGGCTAATGGTCAACTAGTGGTTGGGTCGTGACGTGCCTAGCACATGCGCATTGAAGTTGAAGTGCAAACAACTCTAGTCGACCTACTGTCATGTCAACGACCGTGAGAAAATGGCGGTCGCACATCTGCTAAAGAATGTTTCAACACTTGATGTTTCTGTTTATTCACACCAATAATATTGATTGTGTAGTTAGGGACATCTTACATTTTCACCATTACTGTTGTACAATGGTGACAAAATCTTAAACCAACATGGAAAAACTATGCAATGAAAATTAAAGTTTGCACTCACAGTTTTGGTTTTTCCGCCATTTTGTGTTGATAGTTGGTCCCCTCTGCACTATGCCATGAAAAATTGGTATTGATAACCAGCCATAAATCGTGGCACGACCAACCGTGGTAGGCTGGTCCTGAATAGTCGACTAGACTTGTCCAACCATCATCGACTAGCGTGCATTCAATCAGAGTTAGTTGAACCATGGTTAACTATGGTCCCTGATCCAACTTGCCCTGTGTTCAGATCGGTCATCTGCATTATTTCATCAACAGTCAAATTTATACAAACCAGATATGCTAATTGTTATTAGGTTAGGGGGCTTTACTCAAACACTCCAGTTAGTAGATATGATTCCATGGGGAGGTTATAATTAGCTCATTGATGTTTAGTCCCTAGCTCTTGATATTGTGTACTTAACACAACTTACATGATTGACAAGCAATCTGAATATGATTTTCAAGAATTCAAGTTGAAGATGAGGTAAAAATATTACAACAGGAAGTTATACTTTCATAATATATCAAATTTTCCCTGAAAACTATGTACAAAATATATTCACAAACCTTTAACAACAATTGCAATAAAAAGTGAATAATTCCCTTTGTGCGTAAATTCTTTTGAAAAAAATTCCATTATTTGAAAAATTCATCTCAACAATCACATTTCTTCGGAGTCACATTTTATCAAAACTTTTAGTTTGAAAATACTGCATGGTAAACTGCGAATCAAAAAAAAATTAGCAATATATACAGTGCAACTACGTTCCATGAATATTAAAAGATATTTTTTACTCTGCAAATATAACCATTTACACTTTGCCCTTCACATTTTGTTAACAAGATTATGATAGATTTTAGCATGAAAAACAGCAGAGATGTACAAGGAAACTGCAAGCTTAGGGCTTTATAGCTCAGTTGGTGGCACACTGGTGCACAGTTCCAGTGGTCAAAAATTCACATCCCACGCCAGTCTGTCTTTACTTTAAAGCTGCAATAACCATGCTCATGATATTCAATATATTCCATTTTTGTCTCCCAATAATGTTTGTTTTATGTGTATGTTATATTAAAGGGAATGTACAACATTTGCTTTTGCTGTAATTTTCAGAAATAAATGGATTTGGAGGAATAGTATGTTAAAGCAAATATTGTTACACTGACTTGTTTCACGTTTTGGGTTCATAGATGCTGGAAAAAAAATCATGTTCTTGTAATCTGATTCCCTGACCCCACTTAAGATGAAACAAATCAATTTATAGACTTTGGGAATTATAAGGTCAGAGAATCATGCTAGCTGGCTTGTACCCCTTCACAGGTGTGTAATCAATTGCAAAGAAAATGCGGAATAACTAAATATGAACAATTCGGAGCAGTTTTTGAAGGGAAAAAACTCCAGTTTTCTCCAACGCTGGTTGGACAACCAGCGTTGGAAATTGATACCAAAATACCACTTACTTAAAGTTGCCAGCACACCAGGAGCCATGATTGTACAGAACGTTTTATAGACTGTCCTTCCCTAACAGTCGTGTAAAGAATGTTGTAGTAATTTGATCATTTTGTTTTTAGATGATTGCAAATGTTGTATCTTCCCTTTAAGACAGAAAAAGCTTTGTTCTATTTTGGATGTTGCCAACCCTCTGAAAATACACTTTCATTTTGGGTTACTTTGACGCCAATTATGCACAAAAGATTGCCAGGCCCAAAAATAATTCCAAATTTGTTAGAAGTAAAAATACCTTGACTAAAGGTGGGTTGATTTCTTTTTTCAATGTCTCATTCAAAAGTGAATAACTTTTGTATTGCTAGAAAATAAGCAATTTGAAAACAAAAAAACACAGTTTTTTTGCAACAATATGCAACACTTGTCAAAATGACACTCCTGCCCAGTGTAGCAAGATCTATCAAGTTAAACATTCTCAAGGCCAAACTGCCTCAGAGTCTATGGTCACCAACTACAGCAGGATACAACTGTGGCATTGTTTGATTGGACTTGCTCTTATTCAGGGATGTAGTTGAGTCCATCACAAGTCCATTCCCAGTCCAGTCACAAGAAACAGTGGATGAGCAATAACGAAGGAATGCCTTTGTCCAAGCTCATTTGAATAGCCTGCAATTTGAACTGGGACAGGGGGACTTGTGATGGACTCGCTGTGGAGTGCCCTGGCCTCGTGGTCTGGAGCACTGAATTCGTGGTCTGCGGGTAATTCCGCAGGTTGTTGGTTCAAGTCCAGCCTGGGGTCATGGTGCGTGTGCCCTTGGGCAAGGCACTTTGTCACTCATTGCTTCTCCCCACCCAGGGGTAAATTGGGTGCCTGTGAGGGCAGAGATGGTTGTTGTGGTTGATATTAGCTGCTTTGTTTGTAATGCTTTTATTGGCCCAAAATGCGTCGACATTTTATAAATCGTAACAGCGAAGAAAATAGACATAATTAATCATTTGTTGATAAAGTGTTGGAAGCAAAATTGGGGTTGGGGGGGTTGGGGGGCAAGGAAACAACTAAAGCCCCCCCCCCCCCCAATGAGCAGGGTAATAATGATGTAGCGCTTTGAATACCAATACTGGTGGATAGGTGCACTTTTTTAAATACCCATTATTATTATTATTATTATCCCTGCTCCCGTTGTCTCAGAATTGGCCATTTATGCACAGGTGTCGATGACTCAATGAAGCAAGGTCCAACAGACTTTTACACCTGATGCACTGAGAGTTGCGCTAAGCAGAGTAAGGGTAAATCCTCAGTTTGATGGAGCACGGCACAGTTACTCCGGGTAGAGTTCTGCAGCTTTCTGCGTCGTCACTGCCACGTCGTCCGGGTACTGACAGGCCAATTCTGCATTCGGCAGGTAACATTTCTGTGTGAACTCTTGGAAGTATCGGCCCACCTCAGGATGCGATATGGTGATAGGGGCATCGATGAAGTCCAGATTTTCTGCCCAAAAAAGGATTGATAAACAAGCTACAGACCAAATGCATTCCAGGTACCTCGGAGGGTGTTCTTTGCTAATTTAACTTAGTTACAGTGAATGCACAAAAAGATTACACATATCTATTCCAGCGATAAAAAATGATAGCTCTATACCAAAAATTAACAAATAAAACAAGTAATCCTACCTCTTCCATGTCAACTGTATCATTTTGATTGAGGTAAAACATCTTGCTTAAGGACTTAAGCACCATGAAACAATAATGCATCAAATTAAACTTTCTGAAAATATTTGCAAATTACCTGTCTTAATCAATATACCTTTTTTTTCTTCTTCTTTTTTTAAATGCATATTTGTCTGAACAAGACTAAATGCCAATCCAGCTACAGGGCTACAAGCGAAATAAAAAAAGAGTAAATACTCAAGAAAACTGAAGGTAGGAATTAACATTCCTCTAGAAACAGGACAGATTGCAAAGTTGGAGGGAAACAAGCACCGGCGAAGGAATACCAAAGAGATGCAGCACGTGGGAAAAAAGCTGCTAGAATATCCTTTTGTTCTACATCTAGGTACTGCAACAGTTTATGGATGAAAACAGGCAGAAAGGCAACTTTCTCTCTCAAACACTCTGATTGGAGGAACCAGGTTGGATAGACTAGTGCAGCATTGACCATGAAAATATCTGCCCCCCCAAAAAAAACCCAGAGCATGGCAACAGACCTAGCTGCAAATAATTTGATGACGTCAGGATTTACCAAGGTGTGATAGAACACTCTACATCTTAGCCCCACCTACACTTATCTGTAGTCGCATACGAGGTCGTGCGCTAGAAATCCAGCGCAAAATTAAGAAAAACATAAGCTTTCACTGACGATTGAACGTTTACGGCGTATGGACGATTAATGACGATCGGCAGCATATCCTCGCTATGCACGCAGTGCATTACAAATACAGCGTTAACAGCGACCTAATGCGGCCACTATTTTATGTTAATCAGCTGGACCCGATCGAACGTCTTGGTTCAATCGTCAGCGAAAGCTTATGTTTTTCTTAATTTTGCACTGGATTTCTAGCGCACGACCTTGTATGCAACTACAGATAAGTGTAGGTGGGGTTCAGATGTGGAGTGTTTAATCACACCTTGGTAAATCCTGACGTCATCAAATTTTTTGCAGCTATTCGCCTTTTGCGGACGTTTTATAAACCAAATTTTGTGTGCATTGGTGGCTGCTGTGTGTAATGTGAGACATCGACGCTCACTGAAACAATTTCCTTTGAGGTTCATGAGCACATACCCTGAGCAGCATAGCGACTGGAGGAGTCCTCCACCATCACATTATAGAAGGGTTGCTTCTCCTGGTTGGGCAGTCGATGCACGCCCATCTGATGCTGCCACTGTCTGGACAGCTTGCAGACTGGATCCCAGCCGTAGATCACACAGGAATAGTTATATCTATGGGATAAAAGTCATCAAACAAAATACATGTATGTACATGTGCTGGAATCGAACCTGGAACCAAAACCTGGCTAGTCAGGTGTTCTATTCAACTTTTGCGATTCATGTGTGAATTGTTTGACTGACAACGCCACTGTCACACACATGAAAATCAAAAAGACTACGTGCTGGAATAGAATTACAGTACATATAAATAATAAGTAGTGTATTTAGGAGGCACATGTCTTAACCAGTTAACGCCGGAGGCCGTGTAAACACGGTCTAGCAATGTATATTCGCAGGGGCGGGTGACAGGTTTAAATCGTCAAGCTTTCCCGAGCTTCCGGCGATAGACAATACAAATGGTCACGTTGGTCACCCAGAACAAGGGACCAGGAAAATGAATTTAATAACAAAAAAGATACATTCCATTCAGAAATGTTTTCAAAGAATAATATTTATTATTACCTTCTGTGCTTCATCACCATGCCGACTGCATAAGCAACTTCTTCATTGTCCTCTCGTCGCTTCGGTGCTGGCATTGTTGGCTCCTGTACATAGTAACACAGGTACCAATTTTATGCCCGGGAAGAAACAACTACACAAACATGACTGCCCAAAATTTGTGAGGCGTTCTCGCAAAATGAGACAGAACTGGGCAGAGGTCGAATTGAGGGTTTGCAGGTATTAGGAAAGAGAATAAAATTCTCCTTACAAACTGTTTGTGGCACTTCAATCGGACATTCCGTTGACAAATTATGGCTGTTTAAAAGTTCGCATTTATCAACATGTCGAAAAGTAAAATACTGAGAAAAGGGACATTGAACTTTTGAGTTTTGTAGTCGTGAAAATGAAAGATGCCAATGGTTTTCCTTTCACTTTCATTCTACGATTTTTATACTATATTCCACTTTACTGTACTTTTACTTTATTCCACGATTCTGTTACGTATGTGCAGAGACATATCAAAGATTATAATGGAGGGTAAACGTTATAAATGGGGTAAACGTTTTTCTTGACTGGAGATTTCATTGGTTACCATTATTCTTAAGTTCCGATAGGAAGGGTTCACAAGTACAAGAAGCAGCCAGTAGGCAGAGTTTGCACCAGTAAAAGGGTCACAGATAAATGCAAGAAAAACAACGCTGCTGGAGTATCTCTTTTGGGGGCAGGGGTAAGAATGCTTTTTGTGTCATCAGTTTCAAAAAAATAACTTGATCCCACAAAAATAGTTGGAATTTTTTTTTTATCTTTAAAATATTGATTTAGAATTGGCCACTCACTGAATTTCCTACCCAGATTTGAAAGTCATGGTATATTTTTTGTTTTTTTGGGGGGTGGGGTGTTTTTTTTGGGGGGGGGGGGGATATAAACTCACAGCATCTTCTTCTCCATCCTTCTGAATGGCCTCATCTATCATTTCCCTGAAGATGGCCACGCCCATGATCTCCATGTCATTCTGTGGCCTCACTGCTGGTAACATTGCTAGGGACTGTGCAAAGATACAATAAGACAAAACTGCCAAAACCATTTCACTGCATCATTTGTTTTTGCTTAAACCCCCTTCAGTTTCAACATTGTCAGTTCCATATATCTCTCAGATAGTCAGACCCAAGATCTAACACACTATTGAGTGTGTATCCAGTGGAGTGGAGTGCTGTGGCCTTGTGGTTAAGAGCATTGGATTCGTGGTCTGCAGCTAAAAGCTGCAGGTTGTGGGTTGGAGTCCAGCCTGGGGTTATGGTGCGTGTGCCCTTGGGCAAGGCACTTTGTCACTCATTGCTTCTCTCCACCCAGGAGTAAATGGGTACCTGTGAGGGCAGAGATGGTTATTGTGATTGAAGTAGCTTCCTTGCGCCCAACAGGGGCAGCATCGAGCTGTATGGGCTCCGTGCGCCAACGGAGAGGGCGCCCTTTTACTTAGCAACGACGTCCTATGGGCGGGACACATTCATTTTGCTGGTTGACGCCCGCACCGTTCCTTGTGTGTGACGCACGTACACCAGGGGATTTGTACTATGTACACACAGTGGCTACGCTTCGCTGCAAAATATAGGCAAGATGGCGTCTTTCGGTCACCCCTAACTGAATTTTCTTTGCCTGTGAGGGGGTACTTGTGAACGGAGCGGATACTCCCCACAGAGCTGAGATGGTATTTGGAATATTTCATGGGCCCAATGACCAGCCCGTAATAATGATGTACACCAAGAGCACCAGTCCTGGTGGATACTTGCACTTTATACATACCCATTATTCTTCTGATTATTATTAACCAAATTCTGAGTAAAAGACTAGGTACCTCAGTGTAATTAATATGGCGTTCCACATAGCACTTGACACAGCCCATGACTGTGTCAAAGTCTTCTGGACTCAAAACAGCTTGTAGTTCTAATCCGTCAAAATCACTGAAATCAAAATGACAAGAAAAGCAAATCAATACTTTGATTTCTAATAACGTTGGAATATTTTACAAACATGACGCACTTTACAAAACCAATTGTGAGTTTTTTGTTTTTGTTTTTGTATCTATGTATAATTGAATTTCTTTTCTGTTAAATAAAGAATGTCAGAACAATCAAAGAAAAAATGTAACTTGAACAGATGCAAAATATGGGGACAAAAGTCCAAATGATTATGAAATGAAAACAACAATGAAATTAAAAATGAAAATTGATATCATAAAATTGATACCATAAAATGAGAAAAGGCAAATAGGGTCATTTGCTTTTCATGCATTTTGTTCGTTTCCAATATCTCCACTCAAAATCCAAAGAAGAAAGTTCCAACCTAACCTGTTGAAGTTTCAGGTCAGTGGATACTTTTCGAAAACCAGTGAAGAACCATGCACAATGTGTTGATCGCAAAACACGATTACGTCCATTGCCCTCTTCATTTCCAAAAATCAGCCAATGGACTAATCGCTGGAAATCACCTACATTTCTTGATTCTTCTAAATGACAGCAAGCCAGACGGAATCATTTAATGGGGTGTTTAGTACCAGTACAATTTTTAATCCAAGTAAGTTTTTTTGATAATAATTCGGTAGGTCACTTGTGGGATAAATGCAAATGATCCTATATGCCTTTGACCAGTTCACGTCGGATGACGGGTATACATGCAAAGGTTTTGCGGTATTCGGAACGGATTACGGATAAACACGCAACAAGCGAGGCCAGAAATATCTGTCAGCGACCTGCTTGCAGCGAGCGAGGCCGGAAATATCAGGGTGTTCTACCCGCAGATGAAAGCAATCCTGCGGCTGGGTCCTCTTGGCGTGCTCACAGTAGGTGACTGCATCACGGATAACGTTCTCCAGGAAAACCTTGAGGACTCCGCGGGTTTCTTCGTAGATGAGACCGGAGATACGCTTGACTCCTCCATGGCAGGCCAGCCGACGAATGGCTGGTGTAATGGTTTTCCCTGGATGTTATCAGAGAGAACCTTGCGATGATGCTTGCCACGGCCAGACATGTTTGTATCTTCTCAGTCAGTTGTAGATGATATCAGGGTGTTCTACCTGCAGATGACGGCCTGAACTCGTCTGGCGGTTCGTGAAAACAATCCTGCGCCTGGGTCCGGGCAATGTCACAATAATCTCGGCGCAAAGTGGTTAAGAACCCCCTCTCCCCCTTCTCTATTCTCATCCCCTTACCTGGTTCTGCCGTGTGAAATGCCATGCCGCAGGTGCATGATGTTTGCCGTCATTCTTCGGAACACATCCCTAGGAGGGCAGGCATTTAAGTACTCCGGCCGGAAACCTAAAAGGTCCAGGCGGGCATTCCCCATCAGGATTTCCGCCGAGGTCATCACATGACCTTTCTTGAAGACGTCGACGAACAGGTTGGTGTCCAACTCTTTGAAACCACTGTAAAGAAACACAATTTTTTTGTTCTTTATACAGAGTGAGTAAAAAAACCCGAAACCCAAATGTCGGGACTATTGTTTTATTGAAGTACTGCATGTAGCACTTTCAAAATCTAGGATATGAAAGCCCAACTCATAAGCTTTCTTATTAATAGTACAAGAATCATTCAAATCACTCATGAACTTTTCAAGTTACAGAATTTTAAACACAACCACGGTTTTAAGGTTCTGTCCACGGATCACAAAAAAAGGTGTGCGTTCTTTCAGCAAAACAAAAACAATTCACACACATCCCTATGTGATTTCTTTTCGTTTCGCTGACAGAACATTGAATTCAGCGTGAGCTCTTCAGTACTGAATTAAATACACAACCTTGGTTTAGTTTTTGATGTTTTTAGAGTAAACACATTGATGAACTTTGGCTTGCAAAAATGAAGTATCTAGACCTACACATTCAACATCTTAGCTTGATTTATTAATCTATTTTTTTTAACAAAACTTAGTTCAGGGTCTACACAAGAGTAAGAAGTGTCGTACTCTGAGGAATAATTCCAGCGGAGCAGGAAGTGACCGGGGAAGTTGACAGGCCGAAGCACTAGGCCGAGTCTCCTGACCACCGCTTCATACAGGATGCACAGCGTGATGGGTATGCCTAGCTTTCTTGTCAGGACCTGCAAGAACCGACAGACATCGTGAAAATGGGGTGAAGGATGCCAGAGTAATAGCCATGGTTCAACTGAGGAATCAGGGCTCGATCAGTTTTTATCTTTCTTTAAAGCCTTTTCGCCTTGGACCTTACCAGAGACATGAAGGAGTTGCTCTCGTTGTAGTAATCTTCACTGTTGCCTTGGAAGTTCATCTCCTTAATCAAGACCTCATTGACTGCATCCAGGACGTCTTGGCACTGATTGGGTGTCATCTCAACCACTCCTGAATCGTCCAAGAACAAACACAAATATGACAGAGAATTCAGCTCGTACCATTCCATAAAGTAGTGTGTGGCAGCAAGGGTCTATGATATGCAAGCAGATTCGGTGATTGATTATGCAAAACAAGACTGCGTCTTAACCTCGAGATTCTGACCATTCAGGGGGCGCCTTCTACCGGGTTTTCCGTAACTTGTTGTTGTATTACAAAATCATGGCAGTCACATTGACCAATCAATAGCTTAGTACACATTTCCGATCGCATGACATCACAATTTCTAAAGCTGACTGCGATTGGCTGGCGCGGTGGGTTGCATGCTGAGATATATCAGACGTTGGTTATGGAGAGGGCTCCTTTGGTCAGTGGGCGGTACTCAGACTATACATAAAGTGTCACGGCTCTCAATCAGATTCACAGTTTGGTGACAACTACTCACCCATGGACACAAAATGGCACCAGTGCACAGTACAATGACAAGATAAACTCTGCATGAATCACTGCAAACAGCATCCGTTTTAGCATTTTTTTGCAGAAGTTGAGACAGTGGTTGCCACAACTATTGGAGAATCCAATCAAGTGAACCACAGTTTGACTAACCTTCACCGAACTCAAGCCAGGTGAGGTTGGTTGGTCTGGTCTAGTCCAAACAATTTGGGACCTGATTTCATTTCGTACAATCCAGAGTTACAAATCTTACCATGCATTGAACACATTTCGTTGACAGCTTTACAAAACATTGAATGGTGTTAATTAAACATAGATTTTCTACCAAGTAGTGGTCAACTGTCTGGACTGATACCTTCAACGTTGCCATGGCAACACGGGTGATCCGTTTTCAGCTTCCTCCTGGCTCTTTCCGCAATCTCTTTCACTTCCTTTCTGACGCTCTCCTCAGGAGATGGACTGAAGGGATTGTACCACCTCTCAAATAAAATGGCACCTACAATCAACAAAAGACACACCAAACGTGGAAAAATCTTAAGCTTGGAGGTTAATGGATGATTTAACAGGATTGAGGAAGGTCAAGCCAAGTCATCATTCATACTTTATGTAGGCTTACTGTACCCGGAAGTAAAAAAAGATCTGCCGCTAAGGTTGCTGGACTCACAACTGCAAAGATACACGACATAGGCAGGGACACCCTTTGCCTTGCGCTCACCTTCCAGGAGCTTCTGTTGCTCAATGGGGAGCCCAAAGTAGGCTTGCCACTCTTGTCTGAGCTGCATGTGGCGGACGTAGCGCAGAGCCTTCTGAGCGTAGTACCTCAGGGTCAAGTCCTTGTGGCTGATGATTCAAACAAGTAGAGGTTTAAGTTGCATTTCCCGTGCTATTTTTGAGTTTCATCCTGGAAAACAGATTGCTTCTTTCTAATTTACTATTTTTCTGGCAGAACCAAAGTTATGCACTTATGATTGACACATCAACCAAAAAAATCGGCTCATGTTTACTTACTGGATTATAAATTTACAATTTTGAATTATTGACTGCAAGACAATAATTCCGTTCTCATGGGGTAGGCTGGTTCCCGTCCCACAATCAGTATTGATAATGTATGGACTGGGAGCCAGGCTACTCACAAAGGCGATCTGTTGGGAAGAGTTCTGTATCTGGCCACCACTTATTCAACATCAACAAGCGCTCCTAGGCGAGCGGATGAGACTGGTGTGTTTAATCATGATGATTTCTCTCCCCTCCAGATTCAATTCCCATGGATGTTCATTAAGTAACTGATTTATAAGAGGCCACAAAAGGAAAGGGAAGGGGTGAGAGTCGAGGAGGGAAAGAAGAGAAAATAACAATATAAGATGAAAGTTTTCAGGCTTCAAAATTTATTGAACAAAAGTGGTGGCCGGATACGGAACTCTTTCCGACATGTTTCTGCCCTAAACAAAAAAGATTTTTTTTTCAGAAGGTTGCAGACATCAAAAAAAGAAAGAAAGGGGCAGGTTTTTTTGGTTGGAATGAAACACACAAGTTTCATGGAGCATTCTCCCTCAGCTTTGCCTCTGGAAACCAGAACACCTCCACGGATCACCTGAGGAGGCTACATGTGCATGTAGTCTTACCACACCCCTCGACATAGTCAATATTTGTAAACTAGCCCCTCTTTCTTTAGACGGTGCCTGGTGGGTACAAAAAAAAATTGAACTGACTAAATATGCTCACTGTTTTTCATCATTCACAATGGCCATCAGGACCTCATCGGTCAGCGCCCGGCACAGCTCGTTGCGGAGGTACAGCTCCTTCAATGGCTTGAAGTGAGAGTACGTCACCTCCTCCTTGTGGAAGCATTTTGCCGAGAGGCAAGCCACGAGGTCCCTTGCAGTCTCTGGTAGATTGTGGAGCTGCCTGCAGTGGTCTAGCCAGGCGGAGGTAGGCTTTGTGGTTTCACTGAAATGTCGCAGACATGGCCACCTGCATAAAATGGAGTGACACTGACAGTTATCTATTTACTGTTAACAAAACGAAAAATACACAACACAGGACGCACTCAAATTAAAACTATGCATACACCCTCAGACTCTGAAAATTACAGCACAGAATATTTGATGAAAATTGTGCTATTGCAGAAAAACATGCAACACAAAATCAGGCCAACTTTGCTGACTCTTGAGAAAACAAAATTCTCCAAAATTTTCATGAGGCAAAGACAAAGTCCTCGGTGTTTCAGCAGCCAAGTTAGAAATCTCAATTCAATTTTTAAAGGAGACTTTAATCTTTCACCCTAATACGAAGTCACAACGACAATGTTGGCGCAGAACCTGACTAAGATATGTCACAGTAAAAATTTTAAGTCCCCAAAAAACAGTCAAAAAATGTTCAGTGCCTATCCAGCAAAATATTGTTCATCAGTGTTCATGATTGTTTGTTTCATACTGACCATCATTGAGATAATCAGGATGCAACATTCTACCCAATAATTCATTCAAACAATTGATATTGACATTCTACTTAACAGAGCTACGTGACATTAAATGCTCAAAACTAATCTTGCTCAACAACATACCAAAAACCACTAACACTACAGCATACAAAGTGTAACTAGTAACAGTCAACAGTACACAACACTCAGAATGAATACAGAAAAGTAAGTGGTTACACAATCGGAACCCACCGAGTAAGAAGCTTAACTTTCCACAGCTCATTGTCGCTGGTGATTGAATGACAACTCTTACAAGTTGCCCCAAAGTTAACAACATCTCTAAAGGAGAGATCGGGCTGAGTTAACACCAAAGTTATGATTTCGGTGGGTATAAAAACAAAGAAGTTGACGCCGCCTGTATCGGCATTGGTGTTGTCTGCAGGGTCTGCCATGGCTCACATTGATGAAAGTGCGCCCTCAAGTGTTCAAGGTGAACTATTGTTTACAAACAAGCAGAGCGCGCGCCGGGTGCACGTGTTCAACTTCAACTTTGGTGACATGATGTAAGTTTTTGAGGTTATTTTGATTTGTTTTCGGATATATTACAGCTTAAACTTACACATTTCCTCTTACAGGTAATTTAACAACCACACACCGTTCTGATGGCATTATTTAGTCCTAATCTGGTTCGTAAGAGACGTTGTCAAAGTTGAGACTCAAGCATTTCAGGTAATCTCACGCTCTCACGCCAACTCGGTTTTTTCACGCTAAGAAAAAAATAAATAAATAGTTGACTCCAGACTCGAAAATGATGTTTAAATGATGATCATTTTCATACAAAAAATAAAGATCCATGTCTCTTTAAAAATTGGGAACCATGGCTTTAAGACCTCAGTTGGCAACTTTTTTTTTATAAGCAGACCTTCGTCAGATTTCAGACCAGACAAATATGCACTGATCAGACCTGGGTCAGCTGTGGAGAAAATAATAATTAGTAAAATCAACTCAAACAACATGTAGGCTAGGTAGTTTGGGCAGCATATCGATCTGTATAGTCTCAAACATGCAGCGCGCACAGTGAATTGAACACATCCAAATTCTCACTAGTTGTGTGAATCATAGACTTGCGATTCAAGTCGTTTGTTTGTTGTGTGCACAGTAACAGGTCTGCATCATGTGTCACTGTCAGGTCGGAAATCCAACACTGGATTTCCCCTGGATCAATGTAAATTATGAAATTGGCCTACATAGGTATTATACTTTCATGTTAACATTTTCAGGTGTGAAAGTATATGTTTGCAGAACTAACAATGACTTCTTGCCCTTGAGGACTTTTTTTCCTGCTACCATGACTCAAACAGCACCTGGCTATCAAACACACTGTAGATTTAAAAAGCAGTAGGCCCTAGATGCAATAAGTTGTTCCTTCCTCTTGCAGCTTGGAGGCTAACGGAGTATTCAAATTTTAATACCACATCATCATCGGCAGCAGTAAATAATTCAATCAATCCGTCCTTCAGCCGGTGGGATTTTTGCGGGAAACCCAGGCCAAGCTGCAGCGCCGCATTTCCCGGCATCTCAGGGGTGGTTACCAATGGTCATGTTTCCTGCTAGTCTTGCACGTACAGCTCAATCCGCTTCCATATATAGCGCCATTTGTCATGTTGAATTAATTGCACGGTTCCTGGCGAAAGTTACAGGGCTTTGTGTGCCAGGTCTGACGTTAGGACCTTTTTTTAGTGGAGCGCAGTGAACCGTAACGGCGTAAACTTTCTGTGGATGGTATGATGCACTTGCAAGTGTGCAGTTGGTCTTGCGTGCTATTATTGGAGTTGCCGCGGATGTGTACTTTGCCGGATTGGGAATATCTACATTTATCTGTTCTTGCAGTTGAACAATAAGTCTGGAGTGTCTTGACAGAAACCAGGGATTTCTGTTATGAGAAAATCGGCATCAGCTCTGTTCCCATTTTGTTGCACTAGTTGTATAGCCGTGTGATGAAACAAGCTGGTGTTTGAGTATTACCAGCTTGTTGCCAATGCTGAACATTCCAATTTACAACATATATTCTGGATTTACAAATATGGCAGAAATAATCCTCCAAAACCTGTCCCCATTGGAAGTGCAGCACAGTGAACCATGACAGTGTTAGATTTTTTTGAATGGTATGATGCACCTGCAAGCCTGTAGCATGTTACCAGCTTGTTGCCCACGCTGAACATTCCGATTAACAACATATATTCTTGATTTACAAATCTACATAGCCAACATGAACGAAATGGCAGAAATAATCCTCCCAAACCTGTCCCCATTGGAAGTCACAGTTGATTAAAAAGGTCAAAGGAAGCTGTAGTTGGTTCTGGTAAAGGTTCTTACTCAAGGACACGTGCATCGACTCGGCAAACTTAAAAGTTCAGTCTTGGTGCTCAATTGATCACAGTATTGTATGCCGATTATTGAGGGTTATGGGCATGGGCGCTGAGCAAGCCCCCCTCCCCCCAACCCTAACCTCCGAAAAAAAGACAAGGGGGGGGGAAGTTATGTCATAGAACTATCGGGAACTAGAAACTGACACGAAAATGGCATAAAATGCTGCTATATATTAATACTTATACCATTTTTTTTAAAGCATCAAATGTACTAGCCCCCCCCCCCCTCAATTTTTGTTTCATGGCTGGTGATTTGTCATGATGCCCATGGAATACATCAGCTGGTGGGGGGGGGGGGGGAGTAGGGAAGGGGAATTTAGGGAAGGGGAATTTAAATCCAAACTGCACCTTCAAATCCACATGTGTGACGCATCAGTTTAACAGCAAGGCACAATTACCTCTGCCCGTAATGGCCTGATTAACTGAATAAATTTGGGATTTCCAAGAGCGAGCTTGCATTAAACTCTAATCTATCCTTGTCAGCTGATTGGAACATGTGAACATATTTCCACATTTTTGTGTTTGGAGCGCGTCTGCGTTAACTACCTCTGACAAGATTGGTTCTGACATCCGATTGGTTCGGATGAGTCTTGATATTTTATGCCCCTGTAAAAATGGCCTGGTGTAATGCGAAACTTCCTTTTGCACTCCGTGCTATTGTTGTGTGTCTCGGTCACTGAACCACTTCTGCTAAATGTCAAGACCAAACCTAATCACTGTACCTTTTACCCTGACGGGAAATTGGCCAATTTGCACAAAAAAAATGTTCTTTCATGTAGGTACAGGATGGGCTCATTGCACTGACATTTTCATTGGTTAGGGGATATGTGTGCACCAGTGTTGTAGATCTATACGTGTAATTCATGCACTGAGCATGACAGGTAATTTGGAATGATTAATGCCATCTAAAGGTAATTTACAACATTTGCAAACATCAAAAAACAAATCTACCAAAATTATTATGAAATACCTTACTGGACTGTAAGTGATAATAGTCCTGTGAAATCATAGCCCCTGGTGATGTGCCGTCATATTTTTTTTTTTAAAGTTGAATTTGTGAATCAATTTCAAGTGATGGTTGGCCGACATCACAAAGCCTACGTCGATGTACAAAAATTATCTTAAGACCAGAAATAAAGTGTCAAAATCAATGACAATGTTGATGAGCTCCCTTATTACTTTAGAAAACTATACATGATTCATCCACACACTTGTGTACCCCTAACTGATATGGACATATTGACCCATCCTCCTTTTGTGAAACTTACTTTTTGAGGCAGAACTGGAATAGCCATTTTTTTTCATGCCTTGTGAAGAAATTGTTCTAGTGTCATGGTTATGGATTAGCCATTTTGTTTGGCACTTTGTCCACTTTTTCCCTGTCCCTGTTGCATCTGATGTCTATGATTTTATAATTCTGGATGCACTCCATATTTTTGCAGTTGTCCTCCAAGAGTGATTATGAATAGCAAAGGGCCTCCTGGCAACAAATACATCATTGTAGGAAGTCTCTCCTAATGATACTTAAATGGCAAATTACAAAGTTTGAAGGTAACAGAGACAGGAAAAATGTCACACCTAGGACACTTATTTAAAGAATAACCCTTCTTCTTTGCACTTGTGGGTCAGTGAGTTTGCAAACTGGAATGAAGCAGTGACTCTCCAATGCATGTGAAATACACAGATGTGATAGATACACACTAGAAAAAATATGATAGGCAATTTCAGTTTGTCACAATTTAGCTTTTTGGTTTTTTCAGCAGTTTTCAGCAGTTATTGAAGTTTTCGAACTCGACTAAAATCCTCCAAAACTCAACCAGAAAAGGACTTCACTTCTCACATCAACAAAACAAATCAATTGAGTGTATTCAAAGTTTGTAAGAACTTATCTTTAACAAATTTTGTGGTTTGAAATTTCTAGATTTGCTTCTTCTTTTTTAAAATCACTTTTGAACTTTTTTTTCAAATTAAGGAGTCTTGACCGGGGCTTCCCGGTCTTAGAATCTGAGATATTGATTCAAGGCTTGGACCTTACGAGACCGACATGTCCACAGTTGGAAACTTTCAAATTGCCAAGCCGTTATAGGTACAGCCCAAAACAGTCTCAAGACCAAAATGCCTGCTTTATCCATTTTTTTGCTAATGAAAAGCAGATTTAAAAGGAAAGTGGTGTAGGCGGAGAAAAGAGTTTCCTTTTTCCCGTTAAACACTTGAAATATTGGCCTCATGAGGGTACCCAGAAATAAAGATTGATTTAAGTGTGGATATATTGGCGACCTTGCCCTCTTCAGTTATCTGTCTTTCCTCATTAAACAGAGTAGTGAAGATGAATTTATCTGGGTTTCATGTGACATGAATGATTTGGAAAGCTTGAAAGTACATGACGCTCTTATTACCACAGCTGTTTAATCTTTCCATTCTAGCTTTCGATGAGCCTGTTTAAGACTCCAAAATTCAGATTTGGCACGTCACACACACACGCATGCACGAATGGAATAAGAGCACCAAATGCAACCTGGTGACGAAAAGTGCAATTTCTGCTCCAAGATGTTATCATAACTCTAAAAAAAGGTCCTTTGACCCTCGTGTATCAGTTGACTCACATGCAAGCCCTGTTTATAGATTTATATTTCCTACTGCAAAATAGGCTTCAGGCCACGTGGGATTTGAAATAAGTTCAAACAAACCTACTGAATTGTCAAGGAAAACGTTAACCCGCAATGAAGATAGGACAGATATATAGACACTAAGTAGAATGGTTCTGCCAGTTTTAAAAAAATGTAAATGTTTGTCGAAACTATACGTCCAACAGGAGGGGATGAGGAAGCAGTTGTTATTACAAATGGCGCAGTTGGCTTCCATAACATCGCAAAGATGTTTCTTAAGTTTGACATGATGAACTTTATATTTGACCTCATGTGGAAATGCATAATCTGCTGCATATTACCATAGGTTTTCAAGAGGAACATTCAGAGAAAGCTGTGAAAGTATGGGAATGTGGACATTATGAATTTAGAAGCCGCCACAGTATTGACTTGGGTTTCATAATCGTGGCACTATTTGTGAACTTGTATAAAAAAAAGACTAAGAAAACCATGTGCCATTGCCCATACAGCTACATGTAGTTCAGTATGCTTATGCCTTGGCTAAAAGTAGGTTGGGGAAATCTTTTCTTTTCTGACTACTTTTTTTTTTTTTTTTTAACTAAAAACATGCAGAATTGACCAACTTCACAGGTTTTGTTAATGCCAAAAAAATAGTTCTGCTTCCGGTTACCCTACCTACCCTATTTTGACTACGCTAACTTTTGGGGGAAGAGGGGAAAAAAAACCCCAAACCATTACTTACTAGCTTTTACCCTTGACTACATGCACACACCCATATATGATGAACAAAAAAACAACCTGGGTTTTTTGGGCCTAACTAACTCAATGATTTGGTCATGAAGTTGATTCTTTTTTCAAAAGTTAGTGCAAATGTTCAACAAGCCTCTTCTTTTATGAGATTTTTTAAGTTGACTTTTTTGTATAATTATGACACCTCCCCCTTTCTTCCCCCCCCCCCCCCGAACACGTACACACACAGGATGATCCCTAATGGATGACGCACCCTACCGAGCCCCCAGTGACCCTCTTAACATGGCACGGTCCTCCATGACACCAGAACATGTGAACGTTACTTATAGCCATGGAAGCAGGATGGCCGATGGTGACGCATGGAGAAGGCCCACGCGCAGCAGCAGTTCTGCACCAGACATGGTCATTTTCCTCGTGGCTCCCAACGTGAAAAGGTGTGTGTGCTCGATGGAGGACTCCATATCAGCATTTTCTCCTAATTTGTCTTATCCGATTTGGATTTCCAAACTGTATATTTGTTGAATTTCTATGAATTTGTTGTACAACTTCAGAGCACCGTATGATTTTAGAAAAGACTATTTCGTGCTGTTTTGGACTTGTTCAACAAACTTATGTTTAAAAAAACTCAGTGTTCTAGCTGTGTGTACATAAATTGAGCCCGATTCATTGGATGTTTGGATTGTTCTGTGGAAATATGTACCAAGCATGGCCCTCTTTTGAAACTCGGCAGTTTGTGTGGACAATCACTATTAACTGACTTATTGCAGTACCAAAGATTGCGTGCTGGGCTAGCTGCAAATTTACATTTCGCTCAACTGATTTGGACATTTCTTAAGAGTGGCGGTTAACCAAAGGATCTACTGGACAAGGAATATTTTCACTATTAATGAACGAAACACTTGAAGGAAGGTGAGTTTTAAGAGCTAATCTTTTTCCTAATGAACTGTGGTAAAGTTGCTACTTTTTGGTTCTAAGCTTTTTTGATAGTAGTCAAGAATTGGATTTTTCTTGAGTTTCAGAACTTTTAATTCAGTTGGAATCACATGTCAGGTTTTACAAGTAACGAGGAATGGGACACTGATAAATTTCTTTGAATTTCTGTGGCGCATTTGATTTGAAAAGCTTGTGACTTGACAGACTGCAATATTTTTTATAACTTGATTATACAGCTCAAAGTTTACAAGTTTTTACCTGTATAAAGCATGGAAATATTTTACGAATCTCCTCTGAAATTAAGATCTCTATTTGTAATCTTTCAACTACAAATGGTATGGCATCCACCGAACCACTTGAATGTTCATTCTTGCATTTTTGAAGTTAGTGAAATATGAAAGTTTTCACATAATCACATTCTTCTTCTTCTTCCCTAAAGCACAGCCCTCTTATTAGGAGCTAAGTAGCTCCTAAGGATTATCAAACTGGATACAGTGCAAAGGGTGTGATGCGGGAACAAAATTTCCCGAAAAGATTAGTGCAGAAAACAAATTGATGAAGCGCAAGTAAAAAGGGAGGACAATGGTTCAGTGGGTTCCGTAAGACCTCTCCAGTGATGGGGCGGACACAATTCACAACATTCGTCTGCAGCAGACGGATATATTATTTGAGTGCCATTTTCAGAAGGGAGTATGTTACAGATACGAAGATATAGAAGGGAAATCTTATGTGGTCTCAAAGCGCTTCACAATTATTACCCCTTGTTTATCAGGCAATGAGGCCATTTTTTTTGGCAGCAGCTGGAGATCAGCGCATTCTTATGTCTCTACCCATTTATACTCCTGGATGGAGAGAGGCAATTGTAGTAAAGTGTCTTGCCCAAGAAAACAAGCCCGATGTTTCCCGTCAGGATTTGAACCCACGTACCACGGCACATGAGTCAAACCATTGGACCACAGTGTTCCATGTCCAATTCTGCAATGAAACTGACATCTGATCACCCATCATCAACACAGAAAGAAAAAACCCTATGTTGAACAAATGAACAGTTTTCAAGTAACCTCAGTTAGTAATTTTTGTTTCTGCCTCTGTCAATTGGAAACTGAGAAAGTTCTTCAGCGGAAAACCTTGTCTGGAAGATTAAAGAATATAATTTTTACATTTGTACATGTAATTCCACGTGGTTTGAAGAAGAAATTAAAGGGACAATAAATAATATTTTATTCAGGTTTTAAGGAAAAATTTCAAATCGGCACTGAAACCGAGGGCCCTAGTTTTTGTTGTTGTTGAGAGGATTAAAACAAACAAAAAGTCCTCTATTCATACAATGGCTTAGCACTGAAAGCTTCGGTTTCAATGCTATTGCATTTCATTTTTGTGCAAAAGTTTGAACATTTTGGGTTTTTTTAGAGAGAGAAGGGTAAAATCAGTGTTTGTCAAATTTATGAACTACTCCATGGCGCACACACACAAAATCAGAAAAAAGAGTAACCTTTATCAGTCAAGCTGAATCACTGTTTTTTGCCATCCAAGTTCTAAAATGAGTAACAACATTCCCAAAACATTCTTTGCAAATAGTTCTGTGAAGGTTTAAGATCGATGAACGTGTGAAGGTTGAAGATTGATGGAATTTCTATTAAAAAAAAAAGAAGTGCAATGTTGTTTAAAATTACCAGTAAAATACCACGTTGCCATTTTAATTTTAAAAGTGACTAAGTGACTCATTCCGTGTGTCACCCAAGCACAAGATGCTTTGGAGGGAAGCCAGTCATTAACTTCATATCCTGCGTGTATGGTCTGCATTCATCTATCAAATAAAGTTGCCTTTTTTTTTTTTTTTGGTTGTCTTCGTGCCAAGTTTCCTTACTGTCTTCCTCCACCAAATGACGTCTTTGTGCTCCAGGATTCACTTAGATTTTTGTGTATGTATCCAAATTGCGTTACATATTATACGCTTGTAGCTATTAAAGGTTAACGCTCTTTCCATGGAGGAAGATTAAAAGGTTAACCTAAGTGGATAGTGATTAGTTAAAGGTGAAATGTAGTTAAAGGTGAAATGTACAGATTGGCAAATTTGGAGGCTCACTTTTAGACCAAACAATGTAGGGGTCTGAAATGGTGGGAGTATTTTTGGAAAACCTCATTTCTAAGAAATGAAAAATTCTGTTTAAAGAAACTTTTCAAAAATGTCAGGAAACATGTCCAGGAAAATTTTGAAATAGAAAGAAGGCATTATCCGGACGCCACTTCATTGGTTGTGTACAAAAGAGTATGGAGAGTCAAGAACATTTTCAACGTATTTTCTAACAAAATTGGAAAAGTTTGTCAGTCCCAGATTCATGTCTTTTCAACATTTTTTTGGCAATAACTGACCTTCATTGAAATTTTCAGGAAAAAAGGAAACTTTTGGGTTTTTTTTACCTCAAATTCCTTGTTTTTTTTTTGGGGGGGGTCAAGGGGGAGGCCTTGAATAAAAAGGATGAAGAAAAATTATTGCAAAATGTTCATATAATGGCAAGGTTCAAATCCTCAGCATAGTTTTGTGCTTTGCTGATTTCACAGCTATTAAAAAGTAACCGTAAATAATTAGTTAATGTAACTTTTCCTTCTTTTTCTTTTTTATTTCCAGGGATCTACAAAGTGAAAATCCAGAGCGCTTTTGCTCAAATGATCTCTGTTGGATGAATAAGGCAAACAAGCCAGACGACAACCATAACCATGATGTCAACAGTGACCTCCAGACAAGGTGAGAGTTCAAAGGTTGAAAGGCATACTTTTAATTACCAATAATGGTAATTATTTACCATTACCATAATAACCATTACCATAAATTACCATTAAATTTGTTGACAGTTTTTCAGATAACAAGCCATACATTGTACATGATGAAGACTTGTGGAGGTGACATAGATTTTCAAAAGTTTGTTTTTGTTTTGTTTAAATTGAATTGACAATCTTTAAGAAGAAAAAAAAGACACTCTCGGTACAACTTTTGTTGTTTTATCGTCAAAACAAATTCCAGCCTCATTCTCCGAGAATTTGGACAGCAAGTGGCTGGCCCAGCAAACCGGGAAGGAGAACATCCTCCTGATCCGAAAAACTTCCAAATACGTACACCTCCGACGTCGGCAGTCAAAGAGTCTAATCATTCAGGGTAAGGCCGGGTGGAATATAAACCCCTTGAGCATTACCAAAAGAGGGCGCTCTTGCAATTTTATTGGCCAAAATAAACGGCAGCAGATAAATAAAAACATGTGAACAAACTTGTGGCGAATTACATGTTCAAATGTGTGCAGGAGTTGGCTGAAAAGTTAAGAACGTACTACCTCAGAAAAGTTTGTTGTGGCGCCCTCTTGCGATGATGCATAAAGGAACTAAGTGTTTTTGTCTATCATCCTTCATTCCATGCTTCTGTGCTTGAGAACAAAAAAAATATTGAATTTTTGAAGAAGAAAAAGAAAATGAAATGAACAATATAAATGCATGTTTAAATATTCATTTGCATCCTGCTTTTGTTTTCATGTTTTCATGTTTGTTTTAATAGCCATTAAAAGGCCATGTACAATAAGTTGTTTGTCTCTTGTTACGTTGGCTGTCCGATATTTTGGTGAAATGATCTTTGTTGTTTGCACAGAAGGATGTAGTGGCACAGAATCAAGAAAAGATTGCTTCGCCAATGAGAGCGATAACGCTGTCTGTAGAGGATGATAAACAAAAACATAATTCTACCTGGCCTTTTCCAATTCGTAAATAAGTACAGATCTTCATTGTATTTTTTTTTTGGGGGGGGGAGGGGGGGAGGGAATGGCATGTTGCATTGAAATTGTAAGGCAAGATTAATTCATACATTAGAAGGATTTTTCAAGAAAAGCTTTTTGATAAAGTTTTTGTGAAGTCAAGGAAATTTGGAAAATACTTGCCTAATAATTTGTACTCTTTTCGTAGATTTCAAGAACTATATGGAGCATTTCTTAATGAGTACCATCTCCAAGGAGTGCTTAGTCGATAGTATTTCTTCAATTTATCCCAGACAAGTCACTGTCAGAATTAAAGCCTTATTTGGGGCCCCCGGCTAGTGGGAGCAATGTCCGGTCTTCACGGAAATCACGTTCTGCACCTGGCACCCGGCCCAAACCACAAAGGAAACTCAGAATAAAACTGTAATTCTCCGTCCTTTTTCCCCACGGTGGTATTTTTAAAACATGCTTTCAATCATCACCCATCTCATTCAAAAAAAATTACATGTTTCTCATCTGGAATTTTTTTAAAAATTGGTAAGGGAGGCCCTAAGTTGTTTTCTATTTTTTCCCCCAATTTTCGGGTTTTTTTTTTCAAAGATGGCTGCCATATGTTTAAGATGGTTGCTTAAGCATAATTAAATATGATGCTTGAGCATATTTAGATATGATACTTTTTATGATGCTTAGTATAACATAACAAATGATATCATTAAGGTCTGCCTGTCAAGCCAGTTGCCAAATTCACAAACAGTACTTTGCAAGTGGAATGACAAGTGAAAAGTGATATTTAGGAACCTATATCTGGGCATCACTTTATGAAATTAATTGTACAGGGCAGTAAGCTGATGAAATCGCCCTACAAAAATGAATGGTAGACTTGAGAGTAGGTACGACAGATATTTAAACAAATATATATTTATAAATATTTTAAATTTAAAAAAAAAATTGCTTTGAAAAATAAATAACCAGCGACGTCCAAAAAAGGCGGCATACACACCTGGCCAATTACTGACTTGAAGTCAAGTCTAAACTATAAGTAGCACAGGCTTGAGATGCTCTAGGCAGGTTCATTACTCACACACCTCCTTTTAAATGCCCTTTTGACATGAGGTGAGTCAAAGGAAGGTCTGATGTCTCCCCCCCCCCCCCCCCCCACCCACCCCCCTCTTCTTGGGTGGACAGTTGATCACAAAGAAGCTCTTCGGGCAGAAATCAACAGGTGGTGATGAGGAGAGGACTCTGCCTGGTCTCACGGGTGGATTAGGAATCCTGTGTGTGACCCTATGACTTTGGCCAGGGTCTTCACTTTATATCCACCATGGGCTTATAAGCTTCTCCTTTGATTGGTTGGAGGATTAAACCTGTCAGTTTCGATTTCCCTCCGTGGTTAAAGGGTTTAGATGTTGAAATAGGGCAGGGTGAAGCACCAGCTATCTAGCAAGAATTAAGTTACTCTGTATGGCAGAGTTTTAGTCTAGAACATGCCTGCCAGAAGATTGGTTCATACTTGACGCGAATGCGAATCCAAAACAAACTCGACCTCACAAAACATTCGCTGCGAAATTCGCCGTTGTTGAAAATGTAAATGTTCAAGTTGTGACAAATTGGAGCGCAAAAACTTGACATCACAAATTTTACACCAAGTATAAACTGGCCTTAAGACAAGTGGCGTAACTAGGGTTAAACTTTTGGAGGGACCTTCGGCTGCATACATTTTTCAAGAGGGGGCACATGTAGGCCCTATGTATTTGTTCACATTAGGATTTTAAACCGGGGCACCTGGGGGACATCCGTTAGGGGGCACGGACATCCGCTGGGGGGGGGGGGGGGGACATGCCCCCACCCTCCATATGCCCCCCTCCCCTATCCCCATTCCCCTACCCCCATTCCCCTATCCCCACACCCTCCCCTCTGAGTTACGCCACTGCTTTACACTGGTTTAAGCTTACTTTTAATTTTAAACCTGTCAAACTTGTGAGCTTGTTGATAAACAAATTTTTATAAGATTTTTCAGAATGGTTTTGGCCTAATGGGCTGAATCTCTATTACAAATACCTTTTGGTCATTTTTGTCTTATTTTGAAATTTTACAGCAGACAAGTACAGGCTGAACTATGTGGAGGTTGAGATTGGGCCACCGAAGAGAAGGTAATGCTGGTCATTTTTGTCAACAATTCTGGCAAACTAAACCTTAGATTCCTGTGACACTTAAAGGTCAAAGAAACCTTTTCAGAGAAGATGAAGAAGAATATACTTGGGTTTTTACAGGTGGGAGGGGCTGAAGCCCAAATACACAAAGACCCAGCCTATTGGTGATGTTCAGACTTGGGTCATGAAGATGAAAGGCAGGCTTAATCTCAATGGCATCAGCACCTCCCTAAGACCCGTGTTAAGGACTTCCAGTAGATATCTGTACGAACACTTTTCCCCAAATCAGGCAAAATAGTGATAGGAGTGTTAAATCTCAGGATTTGATAGTTTTAAAGCTAAGTTTAGGAATCATGCCCATTTTCAGGGAGCTACTATAAACACACAAATTAGCTGCTTGAAAAAAAAGCATTATTGTGGGAAGAAAATGAAAAAAAAAATTAAAGACAAAATTTCATGAGATATTACTTGTAACTAGGTCTCGACTAGTTCTTGCTAAAAAAAAAAAATTTCACTGTTTTTTTTTGGACAAAGACTCGAAATTTGGCTCTAGAGGTACTTTCCCTCTTACTAAAGAATTACTTGCCCCCCAAGGAATGAAATAACAGAGATGATTTGTTGTATTTTCAGCTGCAGATTAGAAATTTAATCTACGCTTTTCTTTCTTTCATTCCTTCATTCAGAGATGGTACGGATAAAGTACCGGTCATAAAAGTCTCCAATGGCAACAGTAACCGGGTAAACTACAGCACCATTGTTTTCCCCAACAAAAATTCCAGGTGAGCTGAATTGTCTCTTTAAGTTTTTTTTCTCAAATCCTTCTGCATTTAATCATACTTTAAAACTACTGTAGGTTATGTTCCATACCAGTGTCTGTGTAGTTTGAAGGGGGGGGGGGAGACCAAACAGCCAATCTGTGAAATGTTTTCTAAGAGTCCATTACATGTGCAGGATGTTAAACAGATATACCCAGCACGATATGGGACGGAGGGGTACCCCCCCCCCATACCCTATGCAAACCCTAGACTATTGTTACCTAACACATCCCCCTAGATATCTCAAAAGAATTCCTGAGATTCTGGTAACACAATGACCAACACAAAAGGGGGGGGGGGTCCCTCTGTCCCATATCGTGCTACAAATGTATACAGTTGACTGGGAGTGTAACGGAAAGATGGATAATTAAAATATCTAACATGGACAGTCTTACTTAAACAGTTGAATATCTGGAAAATTTCAGGGTTTTGTTTATTATCTCAAACTCTGTTTACAAAATTTGCCCCTTTTATGACGTAGAACCTCTTCCTTAATCTCTTGCTAAGGGCTTGCATCCTTGCACATACCGTACTGTTAACTGCCTTTTTGTAAATAATTGTAAAATTCCAGTTCAACCGCCAAGAATGCCAACCAGGAGAAAGCTGACAGCAACGGGACCCGGTCAGTTCCTCAAATTCCCCCTCACCACGGACCCACCAGCCCCACCTTCATGTTCGCCTCTCAGACCAGCAAGGAAGGCTGCCATCCCACCACGCGGGTCAGCAATTCTGCCCCAGGGGGTGTGGCCAGCGGAGGAGGGCGAAAGAGGGCGGGGCAAGGGGGACATTCCAAACTGGAGCGAAAGGGGAGCCAGCTTACCGAGGCACAGATGCAGGTAGAGCAAAAGTTAATTGTCCACAAAATGTTGAAAATAATTTGTGTATCATACTTTTGTCTGTTGACAGATTTTGTTTGCTTTTTTTGAGAAATGTAATACAAGTCATACATGTACCCATTTGAATAAGAGACACAGGAAAGTGATCTCTTTTTTTACCATAAAGTCTGACAGAACACTCTCTTGCATTAACGGCTTCATGTGATTGGTCATTATCACAAATTGCCATTTTCTCTATCCAGTCACAGATCTGCTTGTATGTTTTGTGGGTCAATGTCACTATTGTGAAAACAAATAATCTACCATTTAGTCACATAGTTATAACTGAGCCAATGATTTGTCATGTTGCAAGATGTGACTTTTAAAACCAAGAAAACAGTATACTTGAACTGCAACAAAAGTACGGTAGCTACTAAAGCCCAATTTGATTAAAAAAAAGGGCAAAATTAACACATTTACAAAGCTGTTTACTGTTACTTATTATTTTTATTTTGATGATTTAATAGTGTCACATATCACCTTTGAAATCTATGATGTAACAGTTTGACTCACTGAACTTTTCCAAACATAAGTGAGGTGCTAAGCAGAATATTATTGATCACCAAATTCAGTAAATGAGAACTAAAGTAACACAAACCACACACAGACAGTATATGGCCGATGACCTGTACTCCTTTTTTTATACTCTTGGTGAGGTGTGTTTTAACAGCTGTATACAATTTGTCAAGCTATGTACATGTACATGTATGAGTTGGCAATATTGCTCATTCGCCAGATTAGTACTGCCCATTTGTGATGAATATAGCCTGTCTGCTTGATGGCGGCTAGACAAGAAATCTGAGTCATAAAATTTCGTTTTTTTCACTTACTTACTTTGAAAAAATTAAGTGATTTTAATAAATTTAGATTTCCCACTGATTGCATATAGTCATCGTGCAAAGAAAGTAAGCAATTTATTACAAGCCATGTGCTTTGTTCTGCTTCATAAAAGCTGTAAATTCAGTTAGTAATTCTCAAATGGCATTTCAACCATCGCATTTGCAACTGGAAAAGGGACATTTGAAACCTTGTGAAAAAAAAATGGTTTCGAAAACTGGTTTCAAACATTTCTTTCAAAAAGCAACTTAGCGCATTGAGATCCAAGATATACCAAATGCAGTTATTCTTATTTGTTTTTCAGTATTTTACGTGCTTTAAGTAAGTCACTCAGTGAGTCAGCTTTGCGACATCTGTCTCAAATTTCAAGGAGCAGGGCCAAGTATCTTCCTTGATGCCGCACAGATTATCCCAACCCACTCCCTCTGATATAATGTGTCCTATTTGGCTTTAACCCCACCATCAGCTCTAAAATGGCTTGATTGGTGTCGAGCAGTCTAGATGTCATTTCTTTCTAAAAAAAAAAAGTGGGCGGTGGTTTAATTCTTGCGGTTTTCCAGAAACTTCCATCAGAGTTTCGAAATAGCCTCACCCAATTGGCAGCAGTCCATCTCGGAGTTGCAGTGTCATGCAGAGGGCTTGGCTTTGCATTATTCTTGGCCGTCTGCCACCATCCGCCTTTCTTTCTTTTTTCTGTTTTTGCGGTTTTCTAAAACATGTGAATCATCGTGCCGGTCGAAGTATTAAGGTGGGTCATGTCCATGCAGATCATCTAAATAGAAGTTCCTTGGATTTTAACCAAGGTGATTTTTTTTTTACACCAAAAACTGGGTCAGAGCCAAAAGTGTTCTTGATATGCACCTTGATGTACATTTCTGTGAAATTGTTGGATGCGTTGCTTGCTTTTACAGAAAAGATCCAGACATCCCAAAATGCAGTCAAGCTTACCACGACACTGACAATGTCTTTTCATTCTGCCCTCAAGTTGTCGGTATGGTGACACATTGACTGAGTTTATTACCAGAAAGAACAATAGCATTGAATTTTCAAAAGAGTTTTCCTCTCATGCAAGTGTTCTGATTATTCTTATCCTGCCAGCAACAGCAACAACAGCAACAACAGCAGCTGGAAATCTCCAAGACGCCTCCTAACTCTCCACCCAGGAGGAGAGCCCTGTCCACCCCAACTCGCTCCCGGAAATTCCCAAGTGACCCAGATGTGACAGAGACCATCGAGGTCCAGCAGGAAAAGGAGCCCATTCCTCCCAAAACAAGGACACTACCGCCCCGCGAGAAGCCATGGAAACCGGACCCCGTGGATCTAGATTGCAAAGAGGACGGGGCCGGGGTGGAGTCTTTGAGCAGCAGGAGGGCTGATCTCCAAAAAGCGCAGGCTGCGTCGCTGGATTCCGGAATGCTCTCCAACTCGGCGCCTTCCAGCCAACTGACCCATGCCATGCAGGCCATGCGGATGAAAGCACGCCGGAAGTCCTCCTCTGGAGATGCCTACGAAGTTGTGAGTGATCCGACTGCGATGGCTCAAATGGCAGCCCTTTGCTCACAGGAAGCACCGACTGTGTCCCCAGCTGCCACTGAACCCCCACCCCTCTCGCCGGAAGCGGTCAACATCCTCCACAGCTCTCCTGTGATGAAGCGGCACAGGACCGAGTTGGAGAAGGCCTTTGCCCGCCGCAAGCTCACCGGACGCATCTCGGGAGAGCCGGACGGGTATGCGTCCCACTCCGGAAGCCACTCTTCCTCAGGGGAGAGCTCCCCGCAGGAAGGGATGCCCAGTCAGTTCTCTGAGGTGTCCTCCATGGGTGCCAGGTTCATCCCAGTCCTGCCAATCATCAAGTCCAGCAAGGATCGGGGCACTCCTGATGGCCAGAAAGCATCCTGTGGGGAGTACCGAAATGCAACGAAATGCAAACCCATCCCTGCCCCACGGTTCGGCCAACAGAGTCGGGAATCCTCCTCAGAGAGCATCAACGATCCCTTATATCTGAACCAGCGTCCGATGCCCTCGCCCCCTTCACACCAGCAGGCAAGTCCCGCAAGGCCAGATGTAACAGCATCATCGCAGCAAGTTGGTGACGATACCTACATGAACATTGCCTTTGGCAAAACAAAACAGGACAATGCTCATCGTTATGAGAATGTCTTCCTTGACGATCGGACTGTCAGTCTGGTAAGGAGAATTTTTAATCCTCTGAAGTTTCATTTTTATCTTCCTTCAACCATCCTAGCTTGTATCATTCTCCATCGGCATAGACGTGGAAGATTCTCTTCCCTGCCCTTTTACCGAACCAACAAATAGACTTGCTGTTTTTATGCTTCCAGTAATAACTATCAAATAGAGTTAGAATGATTTATAGTAGATTGAATACTGTATATGCAAACACGCCAAATATAATACTAATTCTCTTATTTGTTTGCTCTGGAAGGATCGATGCTCTAATGCCAGCGATTCTCCTCGAGATAGTCTGGAGATCCATTCCAACCGTCCAATCCCAGCACCCAGGATGCACGGCAGCAACAGCATACATGCTGCATCCCCTGCCGCTTCTGGTGACCATAGCAACCAGCATCACCAGAGCAACCAACATCGTCACCAAGACACCCAACATCACCAGGGCAAGCAGCGTAATCACCAAGGCAACCAGCATCACCACCAAGGCAACCAGGCCAAGCCAACCAGCAGCCAGTACCAGCAGGGGAAGCAGCATGGCCACACGCGGCAGGGCAGCTATGGCAGCACTGCTGTCATCCTCAGCCACATCAATGCCGTTATTGCACCCCTGTCTCCCAGTAGTTCGGTCAGCCCTGGCAACAAGTCCAAGCAGGGTACCTCAGCAGCAGCAGCTGCTCATCAGGTACTGAACGACTCGTTAGAAGCCCTGTACGCGACCCCTTGTAAGCACGGACAGTCACAAAGCAGTGTCAGCAACCACCATGGCCAGAAGCCAATGAAAGCCACCCACGGTATTGCCCCTGAGGTTCCCCCAAGTCCAAAGCCTGAGATCCCCAGCCACTCCAGTTCTCACCGGCGGGGCTCCCATGATAGCACCGGCAGTATCGGATCAAAGGTCACAGAGGCTGAAAAATCCTCCAGTATCGGCAAGGCCCTGGGCCACCTGATTAGGGACGGGGAGAAGCGTGAGCGGAAACACCGGGACCGGCCGCATGGAGAGAAGAAATCCCGGGAGGATAGGAAAGCACATGCAGAGAAGAAGGGTCACCATGGCGACAGGGAAAAGAGGGGTCATGGGAAAAGGCACCGAGGTGACAGTCACAGTTCGTCTAGCTCCAGTAAGTCGAAACTGGAAAGACCTAGCTATGGTAAGCCGTCCTTGAGAAACCTTGACATATTGATGAACTTTGTCCATTTTTGTTATGTATTTTTAAAAAATAAAATGGAATTTTACATTAACTAGTGTTGAAAAACCAAACAAACAAGATGGCATTTCTAAGGTTTTCAATCTGTTGTCCTTGATGTGCAGGCAACCAGCCATGGTATTACGGACGCATGCTGCGACAGGAATGTGAGTACCTGATGCTGTCACAGGGCCAGTCCTGCCAGTACCTTGTACGAGATAGTTCACATAGGGTGAGTTGCTTGACTTTGTAGTGAATACAGGTTGTCCCACAAAATCCTAACAGTCGAAAACCAATTAATAAAGGTATATTGCATGTGAGTTTTGGAATATTTTCAAATTACCTCTTAAAGTCAGATAACCAATGTACCATACAAACTTTATTGCATTGAAATCGATGCTTGGAACAAATGCTATGCTTCATCGAACTCAGGGGTTGAAAATCGTCTTGGGCCACCTTCCTTGCAAGGGAGAAAGCACAGTTAGACAAACACTTCAAGGATTTATTTCCTTTGTTAAAGAGTAATGTGTGACTTATTCTACCGGCTTCAATCTGTAAACTTGATAAATAAAAAAGGTGGCCCAAGTGGTTTTTTTCAAGTCCGTATTGTGGTTGCTGTATCGTTTGAACATAACATCCTAATGATACCAACTGAAAAGCATTTGGAAGACCAAATAATTCTACTCGGCAATACATCAGACATGATTTTAAATACTACCCCCACTTTTCTAAAAAAAAAGAAGAAGAAAAAAAAACATGCTCGATTCGACTGTTGGGTTTGTTGTGGGACAACCTGTATTTTAAATGCTGGTTTACTCGTCAGGCAAAGTTTAGGGTTAAGCAAATTTGTATGGGAAACTGTTAAACTTCAGTTTTTAATGTCATTAGATTTATGCTGAAACCTTTAAAATATTTGAATCATCTATGAAGTGCTTATATCAAAAGTTTCTGAAGGGAATTTGTCAGAAGACGGCATGGTTTGACAGGCCCAATTTAATCTTGGTAAACTCACAGGAGTGGAATGGCATCATGCTATATTTTCCCCACATTATACATAATCTCAAAAGAACATCTATGTTGTTTTTTTTATGCCAAGATTCTCTTCTATCTGTGCATGTTTGGTGGTGCATTCTGGCCCCTCCCAAACCATAATAACAATGGGTTTTGCCAGCAATATAATTCAATAATATAATGCAATGAGCACTTGTGTTGTCAGTTCTGCCCAGAAACCTGTGAGAAACAAGCTTGCTCAAGCGTGTGACTATAGGACTGCTAGTGCTCCTCCTGCTGACATGAAACACTCAACCACTGAACTATCAGGGTTGGCTGATACTAGTATTGTGCATTTACAGATAGTACAGGAACCGAGTACCCTATTAAAGTAAAACACAGATACCCAGGCACCCGTAAAAGAAACCCAACCCAAAATCAAATCCCGGAAGTTGTCTGAAGGGCTTTATAGCTCTACGGTGTAAACTGCATTTTTCGTGAGCATCATCTGTGACATTTGTATTGGTTTTCCACGTAGCCTGGTTTTCACTTTGAAAATTCCCCCCAAGTGGCATTCAAAAGCTTTCTTTTTCGTTGTTTAAGAAGTTGAAAAGTAATTTGTAAAATTGAGTACTGGTACCCAATCTCATCGTCTGGTGGGTACTCGGTTGTGATGCACAGCCCTAGCTGGTACTAGCTACAAAACTGATACAGCAGCAGGTTACCACAATGAATGACTTTTTGACAGATTTTTTTAATGGAATTTTTGCGTCACAGAGATGATACATCTCCCCAGTGCAAAGAAAAAAATGCATCGAGGGAGTCAAACCACATTGTACTGGTGAAAGCATGGGTGTGACCCTAATCCAAACGCTGCCAATTCCAATTACAAAGACATACGTTATATTGTTTGGATTCAACATGTGTCATAATTTGGAACCTTCATGACAGAGTTGACAGCAAAAAAAAAATTGAAATGATCAAACTGCTTCCAGGTGGGGTTTGGGACTACTTTATATTTTTCCTCTGTTGGTGACCTTAGAGCAACCTTTTGGCACAGCTGTTTGAGTCGGAGTTTTAGACTTTTGGGAGAATAGTGGCATCAGTCATATGGCATTGTTCTTTAGCCGCTGTAAAATTCAAACAAGAATCACAGTTCTTGGTGAAGATCATCTGCACAAGCGCACAGTATAAACTGGAGTTTCGCAATTCAGCAGTATTACAATGTTCAGCCTGGAAATCCACTTGTACAAGGAAAAAAAACATGAGTTACCATTTTTTTAAATGGAAATTCAACAACTTATCTTGTTTTCTTAGAAAGAATGATACAGGTAAATGATGCAGGTTTTTTTCAGTAGTTTAGACTTTTGAAATTGCAAATAAGACCATTAAATGTCATAATCTTGTTAAACTAGGAAAAGTTAAAATTATTAAATGTCAGTTGTACATGTTATGTCCTGATGCGATACACATTTCACATCCCTCTTTGAACTAAAAATGGAAGACCATGGTCTGATGCTGTCATTATCACAAGCTGGCTTTTGAATTGACAAACGTTCTATATTTCCATGTGTGTAATTTTGGTTCAAAGCGTAAATGCAGTGTTAACATTTATATCCACTCAAAAAGGGAATATTTGTTTCCATTTTCAGTTCTCTGGTTGGTCTGACATTTGAGTTTTCTGATAGATATTGAAGCGGTTGACTTGTAAAAGATTGTTTCTGATTGGTTCCAACGATAGAAATCAGTAACATTTTAAAGGCACAAAGGAACATTTCTATTACCTGGATATGTACCCGGAAAATTCTTGCTTAAAGTGCAGATAGGACTGGTACAAAATACCCTGTGAAATGATTCTGCCTGAAATTGTATCATCTGGAAGAAAACTATCATTGAAGGTGCTTTAAGAAAGTGTGCCCGCAGACACAGTTTTTTACGTGCAGAAGCCAGTTACCAGATCCCAAATATTGTGCATACATTTTCTAGTGTGTAGTTTCCGCTGAGCTGAAACTTCAACAGATTAGTTGTTATACACTCTTCTTAAGATTTTGAGCAATTTTGTTGCTTCAAACGAACAAAAATCCACAAAATGTGAATGATTTTTTTTAACTTTAAGGTATGATACAAAAGCACAGTTTAGATAAGTTAAGTTCATGAATTCTGTAGAAAACAAACAAACAAAGAGCCTCTTCCATGCCCCTTCTTGGCTCAATGCCAGGTCCCTCTGAGCAATGTTTGGATTTGAGTCACCGTCGTTACGGGTGTGCGTCATGCTTTCCCTGTGTTTTGCTGGCATTGACGTGGCACTAGCTACACGCAACTTTGCTGGGAATAAGAAGTCATGCTGACATGAGAACTTTATTTGGTTGAGCTGAGCTTTTGTCCTCTTTTCTTTCATTTTTAAATGTCACATATTTTGCATTAAGAAACAAAGAAGGAATTGTATACATTTGCAATTTTTAAAGATAGTAAACTGCAGGCGGGCTCCATTTTCATTTAGTTTATGTTAGTCATGTGCTGTGGACTGATTTGGATGTCTAAAAAAAATGTTCGAGTTGAGGAAAGGGTGCTCATTGCATACTTCTCTTGATTATAATTCTCTGATTGCATGTACAGATACTCATCTACCACTACCAGTCATACTGTGATAGGGCTCATCATCAAGTCTACGTATCAGACAAACTTTCTTAGCTATCCTCCCAGCACCCTTGTCCAACTAAACTAACTTCTATATCATTACCCATGCTCAATTCTCCAGGGTGGCAGAAAAGTTATGGCAATGTATCTTGCTCAGGGACACGAACACTAGTACTGCATCCTCATTTGTCACCAGACTCAAGGGCCCAAATCAATTTGTAGAATAAGTGACGAGTTATTGGAGTTCAGTATGCCATGCTACATGACTGTGTCACTCTGCTTGATAACCTTGTCATGGCGTTTGTTAAGGCAGCGTTCCATTAACACGTTAGTCCCTGTACCGCCCCAAAGTGCCCTGCCTGTTACTCCTTCATTCATCATCATTGGTCGACCGAGGCCAGAGCATTGGCTAGCACCCTCCACAAGGACTTGTCATTCATTAGGACTGGCTAGGTCTTCCATTTCCACATCGAGGTATTCGCATATGAGTTTTGGGTATGTTTTTCTTGATTTCCCCCTACTTTTCTTTCCGTGTGTAGTTGTCCACAGGATGAATCTGGACACTGGTTCTCCTGTGTGCCAGTAGCAGTGTCCAGCTAGTTGGAGGCAGCTCTTGCGGATGTTATGTGAGCTAGAGCCTGTCCCGGTACAGTTCTCTGTTGGTCAGTTGTCAATTTGTCACTCCAGTGGACATTAAAACAACCCTAACGCCCTAGCATGATTTACTAGGAACCATACCCATCCTGGCAAATTCCAACACCATATGGGAAACTACACACACATATTTTTGACTTCTGGAGGTGTGCCAACCCAATGTGAAAGACTGTCAGTTTAGGGGTACTGTACCCATCCTGACAGATTCCAACAAAACATGCCATTGGGGGTTGAGTTCTGTTAGGGTTAATTAAGACATTTCCTCAGTGTTCTTGTGTAGTTCCTGTCGAGCTTTTCGCACGTTCTTTTGTGAGGGACCATGTAGCAGCTCTATAGAGTAGTACGCTTCGACGGTAGCTGTTAAAGATGTTGATGAGGGGCCTTCATATTCTGGACTTCCACACTGGATTCATCTTGTTGCACTTGCCATGCTAGGCCGATGCGCTGGTTGACTTCTTTTCTTATTTATACTCCTTATACCACCCCAAACTGCTGTCTTTGGTTTTAGGAATTCATCAAGGAGTAATTGTATAGTGCAATGTGATACAAGTGCTAATAGGTGAGGTCATGAGAAACATCCCTCCACCCTCTTGTCACCAAGAACACGGTGACATCGCTTTTGACAAGTGTCAAACACCTGGCAATGATTAGAAGGGGAAGGTCGGGGGTAGGGGTCATCAAACTTTGCCTGACCCAGCGAGCTGCTTGAAAGGCCTATAGCTCTCTCAACAACATCTCACTCTCCCTGGTGATGGGTGGGTGCTGTCCAGACAAAAAAAAAGGTCTTCGTCATCATTCTGCTTCGAAACAATCATCCCGAAAAGAAAATCTGATCAGTCACTGTTTGTCTTGGGGCGACAGCTGGGTGCGTCATTGCTCCATTGTGATTGGGTCAGGCTACGGCTACTATGAGTCAGGTGGATTTTTTAGAGGTGGGATAAAGCCCGTAGCAGTAAACCCCCGACTGCAAATTCGGTGATGGGTCAGTGAAAATACCTTGTATTAATTGGTGATGATTAAAAAGTGGTTTGGAAAGAATCAAAAAGGGATTGAAACATTCAGTAGTCATTTCGACCCAGCAATTGAGAATTTTAGTTGCCAACTACGGTGATATCAATGCTATTTTTCACGAACTTTTGTTGACAGAGTAACTGTATCTGGATTTTTGTATATGTGTGAGAGATTTTGGATACATCCAGCATGCAGGAAAGGGAAATTGAATTTTGTTGGAGGGAAATCTCTTTGGCAGGGGTTTCTTTGGATATTTTCATGACATCTGAAGTTTTGTGAAAAGTCTTTGGTGATAAAGTTGTACTAATTGTACTAAATTTATACAAACATACATGCTACACTATGCGATACTTATAAATATGAACTGTATTTATAAGTTAAATGTGAATCTGCTCAATTAACAGCTGTCTCAATAAATCAATCAAAGGTGTCGGTTAACCCTTAAAGGGAATATACAACATTTGCAAACATCGGAAAACAAAACTACCCTTTTTTTACGAAAAACCTTACTAGGATGTTGGTAAATGACAGTTTAAAGCATCCTGTAAAATTATGGCACCAGGTGTGAAGTCATTTTCAAGAAAATTGGTATTTTGTATAAATTTCCAACGGTGGTCGGCCGACCACCGTAGGAAAAACCTGACTATTTCTCAACTACTGCTCCAATTTACCATTTTTGTTCAGTCCAAATTTTGTTTGCTATTGGTTACATGTTCATGAACGGGTGCAGGCCAGCTAGAGTGGTTCCATTACCTTACAATTTTCTGGCATCTATAAATTGATCCATTTCATCTTTAGTGGAGTCAGGGAACCAGACTCCTCGAACAGTTTTGTTTTTCTTAGTTTTTCCAGCATTTTCGAACACAAAACTTCAAACATGTCAGTGAAACAATATTTGATCTATTATACTAACCCCTCAAATAGTTCATTTCTGAAAATTACAACAATTGCCAATGATGTACATGTACATTCCCTTTAAGTCACTATACTGCACGAAACCGCCCTGCCTATTGCTCACTGCAACGCCTGAAACCACTCTAGCACTCTATAGTTTAGATTTTTTAGTGAATTAACACAATTTGTAGTTCAAGTGTTTATGGGTTAATGTTGTAGAGAAGCAATGTCCACGTTCTTTAACATAGATATATTCAATCTGTTTTCCATTTTTTTTTTCAAGTTGGCAAATTTGAACCTTAATTTGAGTGTTTCCTTTTAACAAACCAAAAAGAAAAAAGATCCGCCCTGAAAGTATTTGGTCTAGAGGCTAGACGTTGTTATGGTTTGATACCCGCGGCCTCGATAACGCGCCGCTGCGAGAGGGCGCTATCACGACCCACCAATATCGCCCACAGACTTGTCAGAACAACATCTAGGGAATCTGCTGAAATCTCCCCCCGAAAAATGGGGGAAACTAGTGCGCATGCGCGACTTCTGCAGGCAATTACTGTTCACTTTCAGCCCTACACATACTACACATAACAAAAGAGCTGACCAGTGAAGTTGCACAGAGGTCTTGCTGCATCTTTTATTGCACTGGAAGTGGAAGAAATTTGAGAGTTTGCTTCGGAACTACTATAATTTGTTTGAATAGCGCGCTGCATATATTACGCCAAACAGGTGTGCGCACATTACACAACCAATACGAGTTTCCCTAGATGTTGTTCTGACAAGTCCGTGGGCGATATTGTTTGGTCGTGATAGGGCCCTTTCGTGGCGGTGGGTTTTCATGTATCAAACCATAACAACATCTAGCCCCTAGACTAGAAAGTAGACTGAATCCTGATCCATATTATCGATTCCAAAAGGGGGCAGGAACCAGTCTGCCTGCCCAACAATGCATCAGCTCACAATAACATGCAGGGTGTTACAGTGCTACCTAGCATCCACTATGGTTGAACTTACCGTTAAAAACTTTCAGCTTGTAAAATGAGGTCACGTAGAATGTCACTTTTCTCTCAAACAGACCGGTGACTTGATGCTGTCCGTGCTGTACGGCTCCAAGGTCCACCACTACGTCATCCAGACCACGCCCAATCACAAATTCCACATCGCCCACCATGACTTCAACATGGTGGAGGACATTCTGGAGTTCTACCATCACCACGTCATCATGTACTCGCCGGAGAAGGAACCAGTCTACCTCACTGAGCCTTTCATTCTCAAGCACAAGTGAAGGGAGGGAGGGCAGAGACCAGACCAGAATTCATTTTTTAAAAAATATGTATATAGTTTACACCATTGTTAAATGTAGGATTTTCATTCTATTTCAACCTTTCTTATGAAAAAAAATCTTGAAAATTTGGAAAGGCTGGTGCATCCCTGATATCAAGATGACCTTTCCCAAATAAAAAAAAAAAAAAAAATTGTAACAAATTAAACTTTATGTATAGCAGCTTTGTTCAGAACTTTTGAAAGTTATGGCATTTTATTCAGTGAATGGCATTTTATTCAGTGTCTTGTGAATATGATTGTGTTGTAAAAATAAATGAAGATATGTAATTTTTTGTGATCTAATTGCTGGCAATTTGATCAAGATTGATTGGTTTAGGAATTTAGCCCCTTTTTTTTAGCCTACTGGCATAGCTATGTTTGATCTAAATCCCTTGGCATTTTTGCTAGGATGCAACCTCAATCCTGCAAAATCCTCCAACTGCCTCCATGTAAAAATTGCACACAGCCTCAATCCTGCAAAATCATCAGTTATTTCTTAAATGTGATGGCCCTTGGAGGGGTGACCACTGCCTCATTAATCCTGCAAAATCCTCCAGCAATCACTGTCAATATGCTGAGGCAGAGCCAGCGACATCCTGGAACAGTTCGGAGGAGTTCAAGTGTAATGTAGGTCTAAATTTATGCTGAGCACAACACAAGGGCCGGCCCAAGACCTTGACACAGTGCAGATCCTCCAAAATCGGCCACACATTTTGTTTATTTGTTGGGGTAGGTAGTTTGCTACTCACTGTCACTCGTTGATGGTGACTGCATTAAGGAGTGCATCAGAATTATACAATCATAGATGATAGGTGTAACAGGGACAGGAAAAAAGTGTGGACCCCAAATTTATAGAATGCCCCATAAGTTAGATTAGCAAAAAACTATCAAGTGTGATGTACATTGTACTGTGAACTGCACAAAGTGGGTTGTGAGACTTTTTTGGGGTGGATAAAATCAAACATTCTTGGCTTAATTTTCATCTTCATTTTTTAACATGCACTGCGACATGTTTTTTTTAATGATGTGTCAAAACCCATGTATGTTTTGCATGCATTTATGTACAACCTATATAAAACTGTATCCCATTTTATAAAATTAAAAATCTCTATAAAAAAAAAAAATTAAAGCCAGTACCCCAATTACCATATATATTAATATAATTTTGTACAAAAAAAATGGCTTTATCATATCCACACATTTAAGATATATAGTAATGACGGGAATGTGTGTTTGATTTTGGAGCTTCAAATACTCACAAGTATTTCTTACTGACTGATGTTATTTTCTTGAATGCATTAAATTAAAAATGCAATAAGAACGCAATAATCATGCAATAAGAATGTGCAATAAATGACATGTCAAACATTAGAAATTTTAACTGTTCAACATGACATTACTTGTACACCTACAGCCTGTCTCCAAAAAAATGGTACAATCAGAAAAAAAAATTGGTTTAAACATGAAATTTCATAATAAGTCATTTTTACTTGGCATAATATTAAAGAACAAAGACTGGGCTTTCCAATAGTGTTTGTTTGATCTTTTTTGCTTTTGTCAATTCAGAGATATAATCAATTTAGTGCGATACACCAAAATCGATTTTGTGCCACTTTTATGCATGGGCAGAGTTGTTTCGAGTACTGTGCCATGCTGTCTTGAAGCTCACAAAAGATTGGAACTTGGCAAAAGAAACAAACTCGATTTTTGTGTTCCGCAGTAAACTGGAGTTATCTCTGGATTGACAAAAGCAAATGAGATGAAACAAAAAGTATTGGAAAGCCTGGTCTTTTTTCTTTAATGTGATGCTCAAAACGACTTACTTATGTTGAGATTTAATGTTGAAAAAAAATCGTTTTCGATTGTACCATTTTTTTTGGAGACAGGCTGTATATTATATAGCAAAGTATACTTTATATATATACCCTTTTGAAATGGCTTTAGATATGTGTACATGTGTTGTGTGATAATATATTTTATGAGAAAAATATAATATATTAAAAGTCAACAATCCTGACGCGTATCAACCTAGAAAAGAATTTGAAGTTCTGTTTATTCCAGGGTGTATGAGAAAATTTTATTTTTGAGGGGTGGTTTTTTCGGGGGGGGGGGGTGGGCATTACTGTGGTTTGTTTGTTTCCGATTATTTGTTTGTTGGGGTGTTTGTTTGTTTTTGCTGTGCTTGAACAAATTAATTGTCAATAAAAGAGCTACAGCCGTCGTGCCCTTCTGTAAATAGTGTACAGAAGATTTTTTTGTTGTTGTAATAATGACGCCGGCGAGTTGTGCATGTCTGCAGGTTGTGGGTTCGAGTCCAGCCTGGGGTTATGGTGTGTACCCTTGGGCAAGGCACTTTGTCACTCATTGCTTCTCCCCACCCAGGAGTAAATTGGGTACCTGTGAGGGCAGAGATGGTTATTGTGATTGCTTCTAGCTGCTTTGCGCCGAAATGGCAGCATTGAGCTGTATACTCCCCAGGGAGCTGAGATTGTCTTTGGAATGTTTCATTGGCCCAATGAGCAGGGGTAATAATGATGTAGCGCCTTGAGCACCAATGCTGGCTGATATCTGGGCTTTATAACTTCACATTATTCTAAAGGTGTTTTTTTTCTTGGGGGGGGGGGTTCACAAATAAAAATTATTTATGGAGATAACAGGTTGAAATTTAAGACATGTTCTTTTTTCCTTCTGAGAAACTCCTCAGAAAAATTAAACAAGAGAATGTGTGTGGCCTTGCATGAACTGTGCTGACATTTCGGCTGATATCCTGTGGGTTGTCACTGCAAATTTGTGGCTTTTGGTTGTCGGGGCAACCCGAAATCACGCGCAGGATTGGTGTTGAGGCTTTGCCAAGCGAGACTTGGATGCCGTCCAAGAAAACTGGAGAAGGTCAAGTGGGTGTTTGAGAGGTGAAACATCTTGGGGAAATTGAAACCTCCTCAACGAAACTAAAAATCTAGTCCAATAAGGGTGAACAAAGAAACTGAACCGAGTGGGATCTGAACTGGTGGACTTTGGAATACCACACCGGTCGCTCTACCAACTGAGCTAGCCAGTCCTACACTCAACCAAAAAAGAAAGCCCCCCTTAATACTTTTTTGCCTAACTCGAAAACTACTGGGCACATCTTGCTCAAATTACGACTGATCAGTACAGAAATTCCTCAGCAATCCAGCCATACCCTTTGTTTGGCCCAAAACAGTGATAATGTGCACAAAATTATGCAATTTATGACAAATGCTACCAAAAAAAAGTTGCAATTTTGTATATGTGCAAGGTGAGAGTGAACCACAACCTGCACGTATACAAAAATGCAACTGTTTTCAGTATCATTTGTCATAAATTGCATAATTTTGTACACATTATCACTGTTTTGAGCCCAATAAAAGAGTATGGCTGGATTGCTAAGGAATTTATGTACTGATATGTCGTTATTTGAGTGAGAGGTTCTCAGTAGTTTTTGAGTTAGACAAAAAGTATTTGAAGGGGGACTTTCTTTTTTGGCTGAGTGTGTGTTGGCAGTTTTTCAACTGGTCAATATCTTTGTTCATATATGGTAAAGTAAAGTCTGTCACAAGCCAGTTAAGTCACAAGTCTATATTGAAACACGTACACATGTGACTCATGTTGGCCCAGCAGGCCCCAGGTACCTGTATGCATCAACCAGATTATCTGCACCCTGAAAAGTAAGTTGCGATCATGTAAGTCGATACTTTTTATTTCAGTCAGCAAAGTCAAAAAAGACACATGTACAGTTTCAACTCATCTGACAATTGTTGAGCCTGGGTGATTCCAAATGCTAAATGGTCAACCACTTATTATTGGTCCTGTGTTAGTTTCCTTGTCTTCTATCTCTGTGAACCAACTTTGAATTTCATTGTGATTTGGTTTTCCATGACTTTATTTCCAGCATGCATATTCCATGGAATATAGGTTTTTTTTCTTATCCCTAGAACTGACGATTTCATCCTCTCCTTGTTTGAAGTTTCTTCAGGCATTGCACAGAACCAACTTTGAATTCCTTGTGATCTGGTTTTCCGTGACTTTATTTCCGGCATGGATATTCTAAGGAATATGGGTTTCATCCCATTTATAGAACTGATGATTTCATCCTCTCCTTGTTTCAAGATTCTTCAGGCACTGCAGACACAAGTCTGCATATTGTGTACAACAACTCCACATTTTGAACAGTGAACTGTATTAAAACATCATGCATTCTGTACACTTTCTAGGCTTTGGGGAACCTTCATGCACATTTGTCCCCTTATAAGTCTCCCCCACTACACAAAGTGAGTGACTCACAGGCATGCTGTGGTGATCGGGCTCTTCCGTTTCTATAGCCGATGGAACATCGTCATCATCATCATCATCAAGCTGTATAGCTGCACATTATACACTCAACTCACTAACCTTTTTTTAAAAATAGCTGTCACTTATTATGATGGAAATGTATATGATCAGAAGTTGGCTTATATGTGTGGTGATATCATGGGGTTATGTGCGCTACTTGAAAGTACAAACTTACCATCTCGGGACCAGAAATTATCAGCGTAAAATTGGGAATTGTCCCAATTTTTTTTTTGAAATATCTCTATATTGTCTCAGTATTTGTTGAATATGTGAAACAGCATGCAACTGCTTATTGGTGATGGAGCCCAAACAAAGGTGTTACACAATTGATATTGTAGTTTAGCCAATGAAGGCATAAAAAAACTGCCTTAGTCTATGTTTCCATGATAGAAGTTGTGATTTGTGGTCTAGCAGTACACGCCATTTCAATTTTCATGATAAAGGAATTTTGTTTTAGTAGTGTTACACTTTTGGAAACATTGAATGTGAGGGGTAAAAGTAGGGGTAATTGAGTCAAAACCATAACCAATCACTCTTAAAATCGACAAGTCCATCGTCACATTATATATATGAATCCTCTGGTGTCACCTCAAACACACATGAAAATTCTGACCATCCATATCCCTTTTACCTACACCCAAAGTCTGTGTATATTCTTCTTACATTTTGCTTCATAATTTCAGCTGGAATATTAAAAACAATCGGTAACGCTACTGTCTTTTTTTTTTTAAATGCAGCGATAAAACTAAAATTTGTGTAATACACTCATCCCTTTTTTCCAAATCAGTTTTGGAATTTCACGATTTCTGAAGGAGAGAAAACGCATATCAAGAGATGGCTGCCATTCAAAACGTAGCAGGAAATTTGTTGTGAGACACAACGCCCACTGACTTATCTAACCTCAGTGCATCCCCAGGGACCAACGATGCTGACACATTTTTGGGGCGAGGGGTAGATTTGCTTAAATTTAAGTGACAAGATTGAAGTGTATATCTCTCTTCAAAGATCAGAACCCTTTAGAGATTTTTCTGTTGTGTGTAACTGTCAGAGCAGAAGCCAGGGGTTGGCTTCAAATTAAGTGATAATTTGTTATAACAGAAGTCAGATATTATGTGGATAAATACCATATGGCTCACTCCACA